GTATTACAAATGTAAGTGCAAACAGCAGCTTTTAAGGGGAAGTCTGAATCAGGTCTGTTCAGTAGTTTGAGCTGGCCAAAGAGAAAAATATTGTCATACCTTTAGAAATAAACATTGTTAAATCATTTCCTCACCCGAGAAGCTTAGATTAACACAGGGCTGAGTATCTCTTCGTGGTTCCTGAAACTGTTATTCTTGTCACTGCTTTTTCTCAGCTGGGTATCTGCAGACTTAACAGTTGAGGGGTTTTTCTTTTTTTTTCCTAATATTATGTATTTGACGCTGCTGGATTTCCCCATCCCTTGTATGTTTTACTGTAGCATGTGGGAATGTCAGTGAAGTGGGACAGTACAGCAGAAGGGACTGGGTTCTGAAGTACAGAACAAGAAAAATTCATTCTGCCCCATCTAATTTTCAGTATTCAGTGAGACAGACAATTTGCCAGCCTGGTTGGCAGCTGTATGAAGGTATTCACGACCTAACTTATTTTTGTGATAGATTTAAGGCACAATTCCAAAGTCTGTAACAGTTCTTGTAAATGTTTGTATGAGAAACCTCTGAAATCTTCAGAATAATGTGAGAAGGTATGAAAATACTTGCCTGAAAAATAGAATCTTGTTGTCGTTGACCGTGCAGAGTTGGAAGCTGATTTCTTGTATTGTGATTTGTCAAGGGTGTTGAAAATGAAGATGAGCAGCCTCTGTTCTGGCAGAGAAGAGGGAACCAGTGGAAGAATCGGGGAGGCAGAGAGAGTTAATAGCGAGGAGCTTTACAGGAGGATTCTGATTGGATTTAACTGAAGCAAGACGAAGTTTGTCATGACTAATGGAAGGATACAGCAGCGAGGAAAGCCCGGATGAGATTGTTTACAGTCTACGCACACAGTTAACAATTTTATGCAAAAAGACTGCTGTATTTAAACATAATCTGAACGTATGGAACTTGGAGAGGTTACAGCAGGAAGCTGTCGTTGCCCTCGCTGACCAAGAAATAGATTAATGAAAAATAATTTGTGTTTGCTGGATACACGCGAGCAGATGCTGAAGAGAGAGGCAGATGCTTTTAGAGGAATGGTCATAAGGCTGCCTGCAGAGAAATAAGAGTTGAAGTACTTATTTCCACAATTGCAGGATTAAGGTAGTAAGACAGGGAGAGATGAGCAGAATATTCGTGGTAGTTCTGTAGGCAAATATTGGGAAAAACTTCTTCCCTCCTTCACCCCCCCCATAATATGGCAGTGTAAACAAGCTTGTACTCCAGGAGACTGGGAGATAACGTGGGGTCTGTAGGGCTTATGGAGAGGTCAAATTAGAAGGGTGTGCAGGCACATATAAATGTCAGTAACAAGAAAAGGAGGCTTGAGAGAGGAAGGAAATGTACTTCAGTGTCATTTTCCGTGTTGTTGTACTACGGTGTTGGTTTTGTATTGAAAGAAGTGAGATCCTGTGCAGAATCTCCATCCTTTAGTTCCCTCCCTCCCTTGTAATTGTCAATATGTAACCATGTATTTTCCTCTACTCTTACTGCCCTTATCTCCTCCTGCTGTTCTGTTGGTTCCCCCAGGGAGAAGAAGAATGCACCTCCACCATTGATAACTTCATTTTTTGTTTTTTTTCCCCCCTCTTTTTGCTTCCCACCTCTTTTATTGGTTATGGCCAGTTATCAGGTTTTTTTTATCAGTTTTTTTATCAGTTATGGCCTCTAATGCTGTTTCTGTCCTTTCCTCTGTTGGCAGCTCTTCATTGTTTCATCTTTTTTTTTTTTTTCTTTTTTAATTATGGTGCTACAAACATGATCATACTTGCAGTTCTCAGTAGGAAGGCCATTAGGATGAATATTTTCATATGTATTATGTGAAACATAGATTATGAGATAAGGGGTTTGAGTTAACATTGTTGGATGGGTGAAGGATGTTCATGCTTGTTGCGCTGTGGCCCCTTCCTCCCCCTCATCTTTCCATGTCTAGCACAGAATCTGGAGAGACGGTCAGGACCTCTCATTGCTGTTGGTTGTGAAAGGTTCAGTGAAGATTTCAAGACTAACAGTCCTATCACAAATCTAACAATCTGTACACTAAAGTTCTTGTGAATGGGGAAATAGCCTTTATAGCATCATACAAAGTGACCGTGGGTTGAACTTTCAGCACCTGAGTTAATGATCAACTTGTGGGTTTGACTGAATATTGAGAAAATGAGGAAAAGATGTAACTTGACAGAGAGGAACTAGAAAGGACCTTGAATCGTGCAGTATTTGCCCTGTATTCAGATGTGATTTTCAAGTGGTTGCTCCCCTGATCTCCTCTGCATGCCCAGGTTCTTCAGATTTGCCAGACTGTGTTCAGCATGTCAGGGAAGAGAATAAGAACAGGATGACTATTGATACTTTCCCAGAATCTGGTGTGAATTCTGGCTCCCTGTGCCTCAAAATGGGCATCACAGAGCTAGAGGTGGCCTGGAAGTGGTTGACAAGAAACAGCCAAGTAGACTAGGACTCTTTGGTATGGAAAAGGTATGGCTGAAGGGATGTGATAGGAGTCTACAGAATCACGTGTGCAATGGCGAAAAAAAGAGTAGATGTTTGGTCTGTTCCGATGCCAACACTAGAGATAATAAAGAAAGGTAGCAGGTCTGGAGTGAACAAAATCTGGTGGTTTCTCATGCGAAATGCCGCTAAACCGTAGAAGTTCTTGCAACAAGCAGTTGTGAATGGTGGGAGTTTATATTAGTTCAGAAAAAAACTGGACAAACAGATGGAAGAGAAAGGCATTAAGAAATCTTAAAGAGAAAGGCTCCGACTCAAGGAATCCCTGAGCCTCAGGGAACCACTAAGGCTGGAGAGTTTGTTGGGAAAGTACTGGTATGTGCTCCCGAAATTCCTGCTGCTGGCCATCCTCAGCCACAGCACACTTTGGCTGGTCAGATCCAATATTACTGTCTTTATTCCTCACCAGAGTTTTTAAGGTGTAGCAGACATACATATATATAAAAAATCCACAATTATTTTCCACATATTTATGAAGACTGTATGTGAAGATACAAAGCTGGTGAGGGAGCTAAAGTTAGTGCATCAACGAAACATCAAGCATTTCTATTTTTTACCCTTAAACTGTTTGAGCATCCTTACACCATGGAACCAGTTGTTTGTTTGATAACAAATTTTCACCAGCCTGTGATGGGAGTGGTTATCACATTAGTGAAGATTTGATTGAGCTGGCAATTAGCTGTATGCCATCGTTTTACATGGACTTGCATGGAATTTGAGAGAGAAAAAGTGGTTTTTGCTGTACTTTGCATTTAGGAATACATTTGAGTGTTCAGATACTATACCTTGTAACTAAGCAGTACAGTGTATGTTACCTAAACCAGCTTGCTTTCTGACACTGTTTCTTCATGAAATGGAAAGGATGTGACTCATACCTATTAGACCATGGCATAGCTGGTAGAGATGAACTCTAATGAGTGCAGTATGAATGAAGTATAATAAATGTTAATGGTGAAGAATTCTTTGTTAGAACTTGTCACTTGGATATGAATTATGGTGTTATAATAGATATATAGGTACTATGAAGCACATAACTCCGTAGTATTGCTTTGAAAGAGAAACTGTAGTTTTCTTTAATTTTTCATATCTGAAAGTCGGGTTTAAGAGGTAAATCTAAATTTGACTCATCATTCTGATAGTCCAACATGTAGAACTTTCTTTGTTTGATTGGGGGGGAACCCAGTCAGAACAGGAATGATAAAATATGTCAGATAAACTTTAAGATCTATTTGTATAGCTTGCTGTGCCTGATCCTTTCCCGAGCTGATTTTGTCTATTGACTGTTAATGGAAAATGCGGTTCAGAAGTATAACTTTACATGTGATGTTTGTGAAAGGCTGCAAATTAATGTGCTTGGAAATGAAGCCATCCAGGCGGGGATCAACAGTTACTTTATTTGAAGGTCTGATATGTCTGCTAGGCTCTGGACCAGAGGCTGAGAATTTGCTACAGGTCTGATAGAATTCTATATTTAATACATAGGCTCCAAGGGATTCATCTTTTGAGCTATCAGAGAGAAATATCTTGTGTTTAAAAAATATATCTTCTGCTCTTTTGGTTAGAGCCATAATTTACCTGCTCAAAGCACTGATGGGTGCAGTGTTTAGTCAGTTTCTGATCTTCAACAGCTGAAACTTACACAGCCTCATAGATGCTTGGACTTTGTTAGTGAACTTGGCTGGATTTTTTCAGTATTTAAAATCTTCCCCAGATCAGTATGCATTTCACTGCTCACTGTAAATCTGTAGCTGGAGAATACAATAGAGGCAAAGTAGTTGTTAAATGTCAACCAAATGGGATTGTTTTAAGGCTTCATAGTACACTCAGTTTCTGGCATCCCCTATGAGGCAAACTATGCTGTCAACTGAAATAGTGAAATAGTTTTTGGTGGGTTTTTTTGGTGACTGCCTTTTTTACTAACTACCTTGTCAACCTGCTATTAAATGGTAGTCATGTTTTAGGGCTTGACTAATACATGGTGGTTTAGTGAACTGTAGGTGGCATTGAGGAAAGCAGCCCTAAGACTGTTTGAATCTGAAAGTAAGAAACAGTTCACAGAATCCAAAAACTCTGTGGAAGAAATGAAAGTGAACTTCACGTTGTGCTAAAGACATTTACTGTAAATAAAGAGTCCATCTACAGACTATGATAATCTCTTTAGCATCTATTTAAAGTGACCTACTTTTATTTTAAAATCCTCCTAATTCAACTGGTAACCGGTAAAATGATGTATTCTGAAAATATAATCCTCAAATCTTTGTGTAGACAATGCTGACATGTCTCATTTTGAGCCCATTTAAGACCCGTTAACATGTTTCAGACTAGAGTAACCTATTAAATAAATACATCAGGAAAAAGCTTTTACTGGTAATGGTTGTTTTGCTTAGGTGACTATGGCTGTAATGTATTGTGAGTACATCTGGTACTTCAGTGATTATCAGTGATCTTTTTTCCTTTAGGCGGTTTCCTAGAAACATGATTGCTTGCTGGTCTTGATCTCACAGCTTTGTGAAGACTTCTTCTCTGATAATGTCAAGTTCAGGCTACCCTCCTAACCAAGGAGCATTCAGCACAGAACAGAGTCGTTATCCTACCCACTCTGTCCAGTACACCTTCCCCAGCACCCGGCACCAGCAGGTAAGGAGGCAGCAGGGTTACAAATTTAGCAAGAACATAGTTTGGTTATTTGCTGTACCAAATGGAATTATTTGTTTTTAACCAACGTAATAGAAGTTGTTCATATTTGAAACCAGTAGAGCCGCAGATGAATATGCCCAGTTAAAACTGACTGGGGAAATCTGTCTAACAGTGTTTGTGCCTTTGTAGTTTGGCTCTTGCTTTATACTTATTCAAGTATGTTGTGTCTTTGAATGAGGGTCTGACTGCGGTGTAACTTCTGGGAAGTATAGTCTGTAGCCATGCACTGTTCCTTGGTTTAACTTATTTCAAGTTCATACTCTGAAGTATTAACTTGAAAGGATATAATTACCTGTTGAATTATGCCTTCCTGCAATGCTGTAGCTGAAATTATTAAAATCCTTGGCAACCATTGACTGCAGTTTTGGCATTTTAAAGTTTTTGCCTGTGTGGGTTTTTTGTTGGTTTGGATTTTTTTCCCCCCTTCTTCCCCCCTTTTTTCTCCCTTCTTTCTTTTTATGTAGACTAGTATTAAAAAATACTCTATAAAACTGTGAAGGTATCCTAAATAAAACCCTACAACTTGTCAGTATTTCCCATTATTTAACATTTGTAAATCTACTCAAACTGGCAAAACACTTATTGAGAAATTATTTTCTCTTAAAGGCTGTTCATTGAGAATCTTGTCTCCTCAGTGGGTTGAATCTTTTTGATTCTTGCTTCCTTTGCTTTTTTTAACGTTGAAACATCAAATATCTAGAAATGCTCAAAGTGGCAAAGGAAGTGTTTTGCCTCCTGAGGCAGAACTGCTGCCAGTGTTGCTTAGGTAAATAGTTGTAGGGTGGGGTGATTTGGTTTGTTTTGCCCTCCTTTTTTTCTTTCTTTTTTTTTTTTTTTTCTTGAAATCACTGCATTTTGCTTCTTCAAGATTATATATGTATATGCTTTTTTTACTTTTTTTGGACAAAAAAAAAGAGTTTTATAATATGTCTTTGTCATTGGGAATTAATATAAAATTTCTGGTTTTATCATCAGTTTCTCGTAGTTTGAATAAATTCACTAGGGATTGTGTTATTAAACTTTTGTTGTAGCTTTGCTTTAATTTACTGATGTTTACTTGTCATACTAAATTTGGCCGACTAGGTGTGTCTGAGTTTGTATGCATTGATAGCAACAATTTTCAAAGAATACACAATTATCTGTCTTCAGTTAATACGAATGCAGTGCTCTGGGTGTAACAAATCCATTGAGAGACTGAGCTCTTGGGGCATTTGTGGGTATTAAATTTTTATGGGGAATTAACCTCCTCTTATGCCCAGGAGCGTAAGAAATGTACCCATAGTCATCTTTCCTCCTTCTGTGTAAGGCATATTGGGCTAGATTCTCTATAAGCTAAATGTAATTCTTGACAAAATCTGTGTGTGAGGTGGAGAATGTGAATCTGAAATGTTAAAACTTGTGTTATACTCTGAATTTTTTTCTGAAAAAAAGTGCTTCCAGCTGTGTCCTGCGAGACAGAATTAGGGGAATGGATTTCTAAAAGTCTCCTGCTTGGGTGTTTCTGCCAAGCATTTATTCTGCCACCCTGTGCTCTCTGTGTCACAGTCGGCCGTGGAGGACGAGCTGGTGGCTTTAGAACAGCTCAGGTTTCCCTTGTTTTAATGAAATTCTCCTGCTGCTACAGATACTTTAGATGTTTTGTTCTACTTACATGTTTGCAAAAGGAAATTCAAGAATTGGAGCTTTTTGGCTTGCTCCGTATTTATTTTTCGATAATTTGTAAAAACTAAATCTTACGGGTAATGACCTATTGCGTGTCTTGTAGAGCTGCTCTTCGCTTAACGCCGGCTGCATGCAAGTGGTCAAGGACCCATAAATACAAATAAATTTTCTTGTACCTCACTTAATTATAAATTATTCAGAAGATGCATCTTGTCTGACTCTTAGTCCAAATTAATAGTGTCTGATATGAAAACGGTGAGGTGATAACAGAAGGGATTGCCTTGGGGTTGCTGAAATACACTCTCAGTTTACCCCTTTGTAGTTGGATGTGCAAAACTGATTTTAAAGGATTATCTTTTTCCAGGATACTCTTCTGCTGCGAACTCATTTGTGTTTTGTTGGAAGTTGTTAGTAAGCTAGGTGGAATTCTTAGTATAAGTGTTTAGTCTCTTTAAACTTAATTTAAAACTTAGAGCCACTGTTTACAAATTTAATGGTTTTGAACTGGAATGACGTTGTGATGATCGGGTCTTGGTCTGTATTTAATAACTTTGGAAATTATCATCCCATGACACCAAAGGCTGTTGATCCTGTCTTGTGCACCCTTGTTCCTGTGTTTCGTTTAGGAATTCGCAGTTCCCGATTACCGCTCGTCTCACCTGGAAGTCAGTCAGGCAACCCAGCTCTTACAGCAGCAGCAGCAGCAGCAGCTCCGGCGCAGGCCTTCCCTGCTTTCTGAATTTCACCCAGGCTCGGACAGGTGAGGATGCTGGGTTTGAAGTATGTGAACAGAAATCTTCCATGAGTCTGTGTTTTCTGTAAACTTATTAACTCCTGAATAGAAAGGGTTTTGACTTAGTTATTTACCTAAGTACTTGACTTTATTAGTCGCTGCTCCATTGTCGTAACAATGTCAGCCTCCTGCATTTGAGGGTTGTAGCTGTTGTGTAATTCCTTAGTCCCTTTGGCTTCACTAATATATTTATTTCACAGGCAGGAAGTGACAGTCTGCTTTGCTTTTCCCAATCCTCTCCTAACAACGCCGTCAGGAAACTTCTGAGAATCCCAAGTGCATGCTGCAAATTTTTTAATGCTGTTTAGGCTAGAAGTGTGTAAAGTTTGTTACCTTGGATAATTTAATGTTGCTGAGAAGAAGCAACAAGTGCAAGAATTGTTACAGTGTGAATATTACCTGTCATGTTTCCTAGATTAGGTTTGCTTATTCAACAGATGGTCTCTGTGTGGCTGGGCAAGTAAGAAGCAACAGAACTAATTGGGTATTTGACTTGTAAGAATTGTAAAACACTGAAATGTGGCACAAAATGCACTTCTAGGCTCAGAGGACTAAATGAAAGTGTATGTTACTTTTGGCAAGACACTTGACAGCTTCATATTCTTTGTGCTAAATACCCTTTTGTCCGTCTCATGTCCCATTGCTGTCTCTGTGTAAATAGATGCCACTGATCTGGGGTCCAGTAGGTTAACTGAGGACGAGTAGAGTCTAAAATGACACTCAATTATATGTTGTAATTTAGTTCCAGGTTGGTGATCTCTTACTTCTCAGTGAAATATGTCACATCATGGTGGATACTGATGAATGTTCAAATGCACATTGATGTTACTGTAAGGTTAATAGTTTTCAGACCGTCTTAAGCATTCATTTGACTGTATACCTGAAGAATGTTGGATGTACTTTGAAAACCAAATTTACAAAATAAAATCCCACTACAGACCAGAGTAAGATTAACTGGATTGTAGTAAATTAGCAAGAACATGTTTTGGTTTAGGGGTGAGATTACTCTATGATTTATGATCCTCAATTCTTTAGCACATTAGTATGCTGATGTACAATTGTAAGTAAGTGTTATTGCTTACTTTTTTTCTTCTTGGACTCTTAGTAAGTGTATCTGCTCAGAGCAACTTTATATGCTGGATTACTCCTAGCAGTTTGTTTTGGCAATAACTGAGGTATCTGGTTCTGAACAAATACCAGTGATGAATGTTATGTAAATACTGGTCTACCTTAAAATCTCATTAGAATATTCCCAGAAATAACTTGATGATAGTGAAATCTGGGGCTTGCATATTGCCTTCATCTTGTGTCACCAAAATGACAGTAAGGCTCTGTTTTAGTGCTCAGAGTCAGAGTAGCTTTTAGAGATCTCAAAAATTCAGTTTATAGCAGAAGAAAATTCCCCCTCTCCCTGCATTGTAAATTTGTAAAAACTTATTCAGTAGTTCTGACAAAATACAGGAAACTACTGTCATCTCTTCAGTGGCACTTCATAGGAAGATGTTGAAGCATATGGGGTTCTTTATGGACATCCTGTGCATTGCACTGTAAAGAAGCCAGTGATACTCTTCTTTTGCATTTTTCTGAGAAGGAGGAATTTTTGAATGACTCATGGGTTGAATCAATGACTGTTTCTGTCATATAGTAGCATTTTAGTAGAGATCAAATTCCAAATAGACTCATGGCTCATTTGAAGCATTCTGTGTATATTTGAAAATTATTTGACTGCAAAAATAAAATAATGGAGCTGTTGTGGCCATCTGTGTTCAGTGGAATATAGTACTATATTTATCTCCTGGATTTCTTTTGCTTATAATTTGAATCAGAGCTTTTGATTTGAAAAATATGATTGTATCAATGTTAAGTTTCTTTAAAGTTTTGTACTGACAGGCATGCATTTAAACAGTGTCTTTTAAGATTCAAGTTAACTTTTTCAATGGATTTTAACTAGTGTTTTTGACGATCATACTTGCAAGCATTTGTCTGCCTTACTGTTTAGAAGCAGCTTCACTAAATTGCATCTCCTGTATATTTGAAAAGGGTTGAGGAACACCAAATAGTTTTCTTGTATGGAAAATGTGTATTTTAATAATTTGTCTCTTCTGTGTGCTAGGCCCCAGGAGAGGAGAACTGGATATGAACAGCAATTTCATCCAGGTCCATCTCAGACAGATCATGATTCACTGGAATCTAAGCGACCACGTCTTGAACAAGTCTCCGATTCCCATTTTCAGCGTGTCAGTGCAGCTACTGTTTTGCCTTTAGTACATCCTCTGCAGGAAGGGCTGAGATCTGCGGATATTAAGAAGGTAAAGCCATTTTCTGAAAGTGTAACTTCCTATGTTGCAGTGATCTAATCAATTTTTTTTCTGTTTGGTAATTTTTTTTTATTTGTTTAAGTTCATTCTTTTATTCCAGAAACTTAATTTTGCACATTGTCACAAACTGGTCTTGAGTCAGTATTAGTCTTTAATAAAAAGAACAAGAAGATAAGGCTGCCTCAAACACAGTAAAGAGACTGGAGTTCAGAGTTGCTACTACGCTCTGAAGTCATTAGAATCTCAGTTGCAAATTTGTAGTCTTTAATAAAAAGAACAAGAAGATAAGGCTGCCTCAAACACAGTAAAGAGACTGGAGTTCAGAGTTGCTACTACGCTCTGAAGTCATTAGAATCTCAGTTGCAAATTTGTCATGGTGTACTACATGAAATATTTCTGCTTTCCAATTGAAAGCTGCTAGCAAATGCACGCTGGTCCATTTTTTTCTGTAATGAATGGTCAAAGTACTCCCCTCCACCCCCTCTCCCTTTTAAGCATTTGAAATGAGTCTGCTTATTTACATAACAGTAATTCTACTTGTCACTGTCTCATTTTGGGTAAATCTAGGGCAATCTAGTTTGGCGTGGATATTTTTCTATTGCAGATACTGAATATTGATTAGAGCAATTTGTGTAGAGCAGACAAATGTCTCTGAAATGAATATGTAATATCTTCTATTGTGCGTGCACACAAGCACACTGACTCAGACACTGAAAAGGTGGTGCACAGTGGGTGTGACTTTTGAAGGTGAGAAGCCAAATTTCTAAATTCAAATAGTTTAAAGAAAAATTTCACCATATGGATTCAAAAGCTAATAGGCACCAGATTTTTTTAGAAGTTGATGACTTGTCTTGCCTTCTCTCTACTATTCCTTTTATCATGTGAATGAATTGTCTGTGAAGTAAAGTAAAATTGTGATAACATGTGATTTCTTAGTAACTTGCTGTGTTGCATAGCAAAGATAAGATCAAAGGGGGCTGGAGAAACCAAGCTAAGGCATGCGGTGTTAACGTGCTTGCTTGGAACTGAATTTTTGTCCGGGCACTACATAAAGAAATCTACTGTCTCAGTGTAGAGATACAGCCCAGTGTTATCTGGAGCAGAGGAATTCAGACACACCATCTTTCAGTCAGATTGGCTTGAATGAGGGATGTATAACTGAGCTAGCTTTTGCCAGATGGGTAGTCATGGAGCGTGATGGTTTGAGGACAAAAACAAAGACAAGGTCCAACAGTGCTGATGTTAGAACATAAAGCATGTTGAAATATGTAGTTTGGAAACAAATTAAAAAGAAAAGACAAAAAAATCAAAGCCAAATGAATAGCGATCTGCCCTCCCTAAGTCATCTCTTCTCTTAAGTCATGTTAAGTTCAAGAGAACTAAACATTTATAACCACAACTAACTCCATATGTACTTTATTGGGCTGGTCATGGTTATCTTCAAGAATATCCACATTAATATACATGCAGAGTATTGAGGATTGGCTTTCAAGTAACCCTTCATTTAAATGTAAAAGATACTGCTTACATTTATGAAGAAGGATTTTTTAAAAGGGAGATGTTTTGATCTTATTTTGATTTCAAGGTAAATATTGAAGTCTGCTGTTATTTTTAAAGGTGGACTTCGAAATTACAGTATCATAAATGGGCTGTCAGTTAATTCTGAAATATTTAGAGCACTAACAAACTGAAATATTTAACTTAGCTCCTCAACAGAGAAGTAGGTAACTGGAAATTCTTTTTAATTCATGCATACCCGTTTAATTGATGAGCACTCATTTACCTGTTATCAATATGACTGATTCCTCTCAATCTTCCCCCTCCACATCCTGTCTCCATGAAAGGACCCAGCTTTTGGAGGAAAGCATGAGGGACCATCTTCTCCAATTTCTGGTCAGCCTTGCGGGGAGGACCAAAATGCTTCACCTTCAAAGCTGTCAAAGGAAGAACTGATACAGAGCATGGACCGCGTCGATCGGGAAATTGCGAAAGTTGAACAGCAAATCCTTAAACTGAAGAAAAAGCAAGTAAGCACAGCAGACACTGCTGCTGTTGTCTGCCAGTGAAAAGGGTGTGGAAATACTTCATTTGGTGGTGGTAGTGGTGAATTTTTGGTTACGTGACCAGATGAACAAGATAAAAAGGGAAGGTTATGTATACAATTTTGCTGGAACGTTTAAATAGTTTGGATATCACATAGTTTTAAGCATTTTAGAAAACAGGAGAAAGCCACATAGGAACATCAGTAGTACATGGCTTTATATTTTAAACTTTTGTCAGATGACTAGTGTAACAAGGGCACTGTGACTGTAATGTTGGCTGTAAAGGTGACTGCTGGGTGAGGGGAGGCTGTCAGCTTGCTGCTTTTGCAGTCTGTGCAAGAGGAGAATCCCTTGCATGTCTCCAAAACCAGAGCTTGTACAAAAGTCCCTGGATCATCTGCTTTCACAAGGACAAGAGCTCATATTACATCTGGAGCTCAGGTCTGCCTTGGGGGAAAGTGTCGTAGGAGGGGTGCAAGTAAACAGATAGAGCAGAGAAATAAAGGAGGAAATACCACTTTTTTTTAGCACAGTCCTGGCTATGCTTTGTGTTAGAGAACTGCACTTTGGCCATTGGAAGCAAAGGAAATGTTTGCTGGCAGAAGCTGTTGCCTTCCCAGTAGCTCTTGTGGCCAACTAAATCCACCCTACAATCTAGGCGTCTGTTATTCATTGGCAAAAACAAAATCCTTGTCTCCTTTTCCTTTTATGACTTTCAAAGATCCAGATAAAAATAGTGCCAGCTTTAAGGTTTTTGGTGGTTTTTTTTTTTTATTAATGGCAACTTTGCAGGAAATGAGAGTTATGCTGTAGGATTTGTTAACTTGTATGTCTAGAATAGCAAATAGACAGCTCTCTCTGGAGTGCTATGTTTTTATGGTCTGGAAAGATTTAATTACATCTGAATTTTAATGACCTGTAAAGTGACCTTCAGCAGAAAACCAAAAAAAGGGTGTCACTAAGTACCTGGCTGTGTGTTAGTGATGCTTATCTTTTTGTTTGTTTGTTCACTTTTCCACAAAATCAGCAAATACTATGAATATCATCTACGAAGGTTCCTTTGTGCACATTTGTAGGGTGATTTGACTTAAAAAAAATTACAAAGTTGCTGTTGTCTGCAGTAATTGAGCCTGCTTATTATGGCATTCTGCAAAAATTTAGATTTTGAATTCTTATGAAGCAATGCAGCACTTTCTAGCCTGTGTTGTAAGACAGAATGGAGCATTGGAAATGTTTGGTGCATGTTTGTGACAGGCGTGGATAAAGGATATTTAAAATTAAAAATGAAGATGTCACTGAATTAGATTTATTTGATATGAAAACAAATCACAGCAGTGTGGTGGCTTGGAAAATATTACAGCTGGTTTTTTGCTTATTTGAAACAAGATTGTAACAATCTTGGACAATCAATACACGTGGAGCGGTTTATTTCTGCTATGAAGTATATGTAGAATGATGTTCTCTGTGCATTGTTAGGACTTCTGTACCTTTTAAAAAAAAAGACAGTAGTAATAATAACACTTGAATAGCTACAATGTCAAAAGGCATCTCTGTGGATTACTTCCTCTGTGAGAAGCAGGTTTGGTGTAACTGTCCTCCAAAGTTTGTATTTTTGTTTAAAGTTAAATAGCGATAAATTACAGTGTGACAGTGGCTTTAAATTTCAAGTAGAAACACCTCTGATTTAATGAAGGTGAGACTTGTAAACAGCTAATTTGGTTTACTAATAGTACAAAAAATAGTCTTGTTATCGTCCCTGTTCGCCTTAAAACCATTTCATTCATTCCTTGTCAGTTAAGAAGAGAAATAACAGGCAGGGCTAACTGTTGATCAGATGCATATTTTATCTCTGGTGACTAATTACTGGTAAGGGTAACATGGTGCGGATGGCTGATTTTCTTTCTTTCGTCTCTTAGCAACAACTTGAAGAAGAAGCTGCTAAGCCTCCAGAGCCAGAGAGGCCTGTCTCCCCTCCTCCAGTGGAACAGAAACACCGCAGTATTGTCCAAATTATTTACGATGAAAATCGGGTAAGCGTGCTTTTCAATGTAGCTCTAAGTCTGACCCTGTGTGCTAAAATTTACTGTCTTAAATCATGTCCGTGGGGCAATTTTTGCATCTTCTATTTTACTGATTTGCCTGCCCCCATTTTAATATTGATTTACTTCTCTAAATGAAAGACACTTGCATGACATTTTTATTCTTGGTCGCAAGATCCTCCTTCTATCTTATAAGCAGTCTAGGGGAACACATCTCTGGGTATCATCCTTAGACCTCTGTGTTGAGATAAATCTATCTAAACACACATGCATCTGTAAATAGATAGATGTGTTTATGTGTGTGTGTATGTATATATATTTAAATGCTTCAAAAATTTATCTTGAATTCTTTTATTAGCTGAAGGGGGAAAAAAGGCGAATGTTGTAATATTCTGTGCCTTTTTAAACTCTGGCTTGTGTCATGTAAGATTTGGATAAATGACCAGATAGGAAGAAGTAGCATGTAGGTGAATTGTGAGCTTGTGTTGCAGAAGTTGTGATAAAAGCACAGGAGCTCAGTAATACCAGTAGCAAAATGCTTCCTGCCTTTTTTTTTTCTGTGGTAGTTTGAGATTAGGGATTTGGATATCTGCTGGTTTTGAAATTAGTATGATCTTTTGTGAGAGTGCTATATATTTGTGTAATTTCCCAATTTTTATTTTGTAGTTTAGGGGAACAGCTAACTTTGATTACAATAGACTATTTTTGAAAAATTGAGACAGTAAAAAACTGCAACACAATACTAGATTTTATACAGTAGAACTGTGTCCCAAGTGTTCCATGCATCCTGTTCTCCCCTTTCCCAAGTTGTCTCTGGAATTTGATGTATTTACTTAATACATTAGGACAATTATTATGTTATAAAAAATGATGTTACCAATTTACAGCAATATGTTTACTTCTGGTTACAAACCAGTTTTACTTTTTTAAATCTCTTAAGCCATTTCTGTACATAGCACTTGTTTGGTATCTTTCCATCTAGAGTTGTACAAGAGGCCAGTCCACTTGGCAGCTTTCAACTTCAAACCATTTAGGATAATTTACTTATTAGTAGGATAATTACTTCTAATATTCAACTACTGGTGGCTAAAATTTGGTTGAAGCATTAGGGCTAGAATTCGCTTTTCAATGTTTTGAGACCAGAAAAACCATTCTACCAGGGTAACACTATAATATTTCCTTGATGTATAATTATTTTGTACTGCTGTGAGTTCCAAAGAATTTCTCAAGATTGAAATTCCATGGGAAGAGGTTAGAACTGAGCAGAACACTTTCTTGTAACAACTGCTCTATGTGTTAGTTTCTCAGATATTGTTCTTTGCAGATGTCTTAGGGCTAGCACATAAACTACTGGGGGGAAAGAAGCAAATCTGAACTAGTCTGTTGGGTCATTTCAGATAACCTTGTCTGCTGACAAAGGGCTTTGGAAGATTGTACAGGCTTGAAATAAATCTGTGAAAGACAACTCTCTTATCCACTGCTGCCTCCTTTAGGGTCAGAATTATTTTGAGACCTTTGCCTAGTGTGAGGGAAGGAGGACCTTTGACATACTTTTGTGGGTTTGTAATTATTTATTAAATTCATGTTCTTTTGAACTGCTTTTATACGCCTATCAGCTTCCAGACATGGAAATCAGAGTAGTAACTGCACGATTCAGGTACAGGTTTCTGGATTTGCAGAGGCAACATTGCAGAAGTAGGTTAAGAAGGATGTAGTATGATGACACAGGGGTTTAGCAGCTTGTGTAAGTGAGAGAGCTCAGGTATGCTTTTGATATTAATTTCAGATGATTTACTATACAAAAAAATCTTATTTGCAGAAAAAAGCAGAAGAAGCTCACAAAATTTTTGAGGGTCTTGGTCCAAAAGTTGAACTGGTAAGTTGCGGGTTTGGGGTTTTGTTTTAGTTTTTGTGGTGGTGGTGGGTTTTTTTGCTTGTTTGTTATTTCTTTTTGATTGTTTTTGGTTTGGTTTTATTCTGTTCTGTTTTCTGTGTTGCCAGTGTTGCTTTCATCTCTGTAGTTCTGTTGTGGTAAACAGATGTAGTTCCATGTTTATGTATAAAAGAAGTATGTGTTTAAATACACTGGTGAATTGGGGCTTGAATGAACTGATTGGCTGCGTAAGTGTGATCTTTTAAAATAGATTTGAACCTATTAGAGAGAACAGTTTGAAATATAAAAAAAACAAAAACTATTATATACATAGGTACTTATAATGATCTAATTTTAAGTAATGAAATCTGTGCTTTGTGTTGAGTATCTTCTAGTCCCTTCAGATTGTTACATCTCAGATTGAGTGCGATGTTGGCAGAATATTAAAAGATTGTTAAATATATTGCGTACACTTTTAGAATTCCATGCATTGAAAAGTACTAAGCATACCTTTCTAATCCAAAATTTTAGCCACTTTACAACCAACCATCAGACACAAAGGTCTACCATGAAAACATCAAAACGTAAGTGCTTTGATATCTTCTCATTGTGCTGTTTAAGGCGTCTAGACTCAAACATTACCTCAATTTTTTGATTTTTGTGATTTCCGACTGGGATGCACGTACTTCAACCATATTTAAAAGCTTCCAGTCAATGTAACTTTCCAGTTTTTGTACTATTTAACCAATTTCTGTACTACCAGTTTTTGCAAAAGAAGAGATAAATTGCTGGTTTCAGATATGAAGAAATGCATAGTGAGCTATGTGCGTATTACTAAGTGCTATACATTTTACTACCATTTTATAATGTTTTGTTAGTACAGGAAAAATCCTACAGATGGTTGTCTTTTAAATAAAGTACTTCTTGCTCCACTCCTTCAAATGTAGCTGTATAGCAGTTCCAAAATACTTACTTTTTTGAGTAATGTATTGTAAAACTCTTAACTTTGGGATTGAATTACAACGATATTTTTTTTCCAAAGCATAATATCTTAAGCTCAATTTACTCAGTTCAGCATATTCTCTCTTGTGGTGAAGGAGAGCACCGTGCTTAAAATTGGAAGCTTTTGGGTCTTAGTTCCAGCCATCTTCAAGAATCTTCTCTGATAGAATATAGTGTTAGTAAGATGATTGTTTCATCAGGAATTTTCCCTCTTTTTTTCTACCCCTGGAGATATTTTTTGTAATAATGATCTGGCACCTAGAATCCATATGGGCTTTGTTGAGTAATTTTGAAGTGCTTGATTCTTACATAGCTCACTTTTTTTTTTCTGATTTTGTTTTCCAGAAACCAAGTGATGAGGAAAAAGCTAATACTATTCTTTAAAAGAAGAAACCATGCAAGAAAACAACGGGTAATACTTCTGTGTTTTTGTACAAAGAGCACAGGGTTGGTTTTCTGCCTGGATCCTTGACTTGCATTCCCAAATGTGTCATGTAGATCCCATTGATTAGAAAAATAAGATCTTAATCTAAAATTCTATTGATTTATTGAGAAGTAAACTTCAGGTTTGTGACTGTGGTTTCTTGATTATTTGACTGAAATTCATCTAAAGTACAATAAGGAGAAAGCTTTTTTTTTTTTGTGTGTGTGTGTGTGTTTCCCTTTTGTTTTCTTCATGATTGGAAGAGACCCATCTTCAAAATGAAAAGCCACTAGAGCAGGAAAAATATGGAGCCTACTCGTGTTACGGATACTGATCACTAAGTGTAATTTTATTTTAACAGGAACAGAAAATCTGTCAACGTTACGATCAGCTGATGGAGGCATGGGAGAAGAAAGTTGACAGGATAGAAAATAATCCACGCAGGAAAGCAAAGGAGAGCAAAACAAGAGAGTACTATGAAAAACAATTTCCAGAAATCCGGAAGCAAAGAGAACAGCAGGAACGATTCCAAAGGTATTACCATAGATTTGAAAAAAATGTTCCTTTCCTATCCTCCTTTTTAGATCTGCAATCGAACCCCATATTTTTTCCAAAAGAAATACAGAAAAAGGACTAATTAGCAAAGGCTAGTTAGGTTGTTGTGCTTGGTGAGACTGTGTTGAGTTAAGCTGTTCAGATGCACAAAGAGGTCTTGGGGTTGGTCTTCAGATAATGGGAGTGTCAGCTTCACATGAGCCTGTTCATTTTGGGCCTACACCCTAATTTAAACTTAGTATTTTTCTGTCACTGGGTGTCTGTGTTCCTCCTTTGTTTCGTGATCCCTATATTCATTACCCTACACACTCCAAAATCATTTGACTTCTTTAATTAGCAATTTGAGTGATCTTTTGTTGTACTTGCCATGTAATTTTATTCCAGGCATTTTTGCTTTTTGAAGTACGCAAGCTATGACAATTAAGTCACTATTATTTAATTTTAATCTATCAGGCATTTGTTAAATGGAGACTGTAGAAAGAGTTTTAAAAGGAATGAAGTGCAATTCATTTGAGAGTTGACTATCTACAGTACTGTTGGTAGCACTTTAAATTAGAATTAGGTCAAGTTTGATTCAGTTGTGTTCAAATCTGTTTATCTAATGTTTGAAATCAATTTCATACACCTTGGAGAGTTCAAGCCCCATAAAGATTTCATCTCATTATCTCTTCTAACAGTCTGTCTAAATCCTCTTACTTCATAAAACATAGGAGAAGCAGAGAGTTTGCACTATATTGTGAAGTCTGCAAGATCTGCCTTTGTGGAATCAGGAGAAGAGGAGAAAAAAAATGAATTGTTAGAACAGAAAGAGAACTCCTATCTGTAACAAGCTTTTACTTAAAGAATATATCACATCTTTGTAATTGCAAACTACTTGGGAAAGGGCCATCTCTTTACATTATGTTCTCCAACGTAATGGCATCTTTGTCTGTGGCTGTCCTTGTCTGTGGCTGTCCTTGTAATTCTATTGGCATGTAAACACTGAGGTTTTTTGGTCAGATTTTGTGCAAATTGATTAGTTCAGTAAAATCTTTGAGCAAATGAAGATGTTTTGTCTGTCTAATTATCAGTGATTTTTATCTCTGAAATGCTTTTTAACCCACATGCTGTAATATATTATTTGATGATCTTAAGTGTAAAGATCAGCGGCTGAAAAATTATTCCAAATTACAGCAGTCTTCCTGAGTTTAGAAGTTAAAATGTTCCTTTGTTGTAGTGAGTCTTGGTGCTGTATTAGTATCTTGACCAAATTGATGAAAGGCAATTTTGATGTGTTTTTTTTTATTATTTTTTTTTTAAAAAAGCTGTCTTTCCCAGTGTATCAGTTGTACTAATTAAGATGATGATTTCTGTACCACTGATGAATGTTTCTTACATTAACAGGCTTCTGCTGAGTATATCTAAAACACCTACTTGCAGCGGAATTGTGCTAACACTCCTTTTTTGATGTTGACTCGAGGATGCCTTTCTTGCTAAGCCTGGAAAATTCACCTGTGAAACCAAGCAGTTGTTTGAAATTGCAGCACATTAATAAGAGGTCACGCTCTGGTGCTGCTTAAGGAAGTTAGTCCTAACTAAGTAATTTGGCAGACTGATAACAATATTTTGAAGAAGAATTTTGAAGGTTGTCATTGATGTGTACAAAATCTGAAAATACAGCTCTTTTCCACTTTATCCTCACTACTTCTGTTTTCCTTTAATTCTAGAGTTGGTCAAAGAGGGGCTGGACTCTCAGCAACTATTGCTAGAAGTGAACATGAGATTTCTGAAATCATTGATGGACTCTCTGAGCAGGAGGTGAGGCTCTTGTCTGTACTTTGCTGTAGAGACACAGCAAATGACTCTATCCTTTCGGTGGCAGTGAAAGGTCTCTTTCAGAGGGTTTGGTTTTTTTGATAAGAGAAACCTTTTTGGGCTGGTTGGAGAGAGTCTCTGTGAAGTTTGGCTTGAAGCAGTTTTTACAAATGCTTTTCTTTTAAGGGTTATGCTTCCTAATTGTGTGTGTCCTAGATTTTTCTGGTATGTCTGTGTTCATTGCAGGCTTGCTACAAGCTAGTTCTTTACAGCTGTAACAAACCTGTGAAAACTCCTCTTTCTAAAACCCTGCACCATGTTAGTTTTTCATCATTTGTTACACTTTCCTTTAACTGAGTGTGTAAATGGTCACTGGGGTAGTGACAACTTCTAGAAGAGTTAAGCAGACACAAAGAAGTTTTAAACTAACTGTGAATGTATATTGTGGTGGAGCTTTAGAGGGTTGTGTAATTCAGTAACTGTGAACATTAGGAGCAACTTTTGGTATCTTTACTTTTTCTTTTATTCTTTGCCTGTAGAATAATGAAAAACAAATGCGCCAGCTCTCTGTCATTCCTCCCATGATGTTTGATGCAGAACAAAGACGAGTGAAGTTTATTAATATGAATGGTCTGATGGAGGATCCCATGAAAGTTTATAAAGACAGACAGTTCATGAATGTCTGGACCGACCACGAGAAAGAGATTTTTAAGGAAAAGTAATGGTTTTTTGTCTTTTATTTTTGTTATGTTGCAAATGGCAGTTAAATACCTAACCCCACAGTAAACATCACTAAATAGGGAATGCTGAAGCTTTTGTGCAGTAATATTTGATAATGTTCTTAGTTGGATGAATAAATTGAAAACGTTTTAGACTACTTATTTTTCTACTGAGTAGACTCACATGCATTTAATCCTTAGATAAGAAATTATCTTAAAAATACTTTAGTTTTGTGATAAAGTTTAAATGAGAAGAGTAGGTAAATGATCTCATTATATCAGATAATAGCTAATTTTAAGTGCTTAGATCTAAATTTGCACAATTTGAATACTAGGCTTTTTAGACAAATTTCAGTTGTGTAACTCAAAGGTTTGCTGATGGAACAGATTGTTTGGAAGACTGCTTTGCTTATTTCGTCATGAGTTATGTTGTTAAACTGAAATAATTTCTGATTTATAAAAGGTTTGTCCAACATCCCAAGAACTTTGGTCTAATTGCTTCCTACCTGGAACGAAAGGTAAGACCTTTTTTAATGCAAGTAGAGCCTAGGGTGGGATCCCTAACTTTCCAAATGTAAGTCGTTTATCCCAGCATCATTTTCTCTTCCTGGAAAAAAATGTAAGTCCAAAAAAAGTTACTGCTTTCATGGGATTTTGCAATGCTTGATCAGTAATGCAATCAGTGCATGCAAACATCTAGCAAAAAAGTTAGTGAAATGACACTATTGACAACAGTAAAAGAAAACTTCTAGTTTTGATCTTACTTTCTTGTTGAAGGGGGTAAGCTGCTGTAACTATCTCACTGTTTAGAGAAGGACATAATTGTCTCTGCTGAGAGCCACTGTGTGAACTCCCACTTTTCCAGTCCGTGGGATCCAGCTGGTGGCTGAATTAGTCTTTAGTACTGATTTTACTGGTGTAAGAAGTAATGGCGAATTAGGATTTCTTAAGACTTACAGCAGCATCTTGATTACGTACAGCTATTAGGATGAATAGAAGCTTTCAGACTTGCAAATTGTCTAGTATAGATGAAATTGTGCAGACAGAAGTAGCTGAGGGATATTATAAATACATGGGACCTTCGTTTAACACTGCCATTTTATGCATAGTTATATTGTTATATTTGTGTGTGAATTCACTTCCCCGCTGAGCAAACAAATCTAATAGTGTTATTTTAGTCTAGGGGCTGAATAGCTTCAGTGTTGAGAGAAATTAAATACTAAAAATGTATTCTTTATAGCTGTAAAACCTAATTATTTTTTTTGCTTGTTCACTTTAGAATGTTCCCGACTGTGTATTATATTATTATTTGACCAAGAAAAATGAAAATTATAAAGCCCTTGTGCGAAGGAATTACGGTAAACGCAGAGGAAGAAACCAGGTATCTTAAATTTATTTGTCACTTGAATATTGTTATTTTATTGTTTCAGGTACTATCTGATATAGTAAGTACATGATATGCATAAGGCCAGGGGCCCTTTTTAATGAAAATTCATTTTATTTGAGGACCCTGCCATATATATTGAAGTTAACATTAAATCCTATGTTGAAGCCAACAGGAATTAGGTTTAGCATGTGACTTCCAGTAGAAAATATATAATCACTTATTATGTCAATGCTTGTCTAAAAGCAGAAATTAATAGTGATCTTTATTTGGTGGTCGGGCTCAAAGTCAAACTGGAACTTAATAGCAAGAAGAAAGAGACCAATTGAATTGAAATAAAGTAGATGAACAGAGTACTAGGTGTAACAGCCAAACCTGCAGGTATTTTGAGTTTTTATCCTTAAAATGAATTTAACAGCTGGAAACCAGTATGGATGTGATATGGTGAAGAAATACTTAGTGTTTTGTTGGAACTGAAGCTTGATGGGGGCGGGAGGGGAGAGTCCTTTCCAATTCAAGGTTTTAGAAATCCGCAGATCTTAAACTCTGAAGAGTTGTGGGTTATTGGATTTAGTCATATCTCAACAGTGATACTAAAAAGAAAATAGTGGAGACTTCGAGGTGTTGTGACAGTGCAAATTTGTATTGAACTGCAAAACAGCAAATGAAGTAAACATTACGCTTCAGGATATGTGAATCCTCTTTTCTAATAATGTAAGTTTTCTGGCAGTCCCAGCAAATGGATTTTTTTATATAAAAGAAAATTGCTACAAACAGCTTCAGTTGATAAGTTGATCCTGTTTGCCAGAAACAGTCATTGTGGTGTGCTTCTGTGATGCTGTTGTACTTTTAAATTATATTTGGTGTTCTAAGAGAAGAGGTCAGGTCACATAAGGCTTGTCTGTACCCCACAAATTATGGATTGCTTGGGATAAGGTCATTTTCATTATGCACAGGATTTAGTTAGAGCTTCTACATTGACTAATTGTGAACTGCTGTGATGGGAGAAAACACTGGAAGTGTGCTGTATTTTGCTAGAACTTCTGTTAGACTTTCTAAGCCTAATAATGCTTTTAAATAGGAAAAGTGTCTTGTTGTGTGACTAGTGATGGTGAAGGATTCCAATTAAAGTATGGATGTATGGCTAACACAAAGAAGATGGAAATAAACGAGATTTGTCCAAAATGTAGACAGTAGCTGTGGACATTAAACACAGATAAAGCTGTGATTTTAAGTGGCTCAGTTTCATATTCCAATATAAAATGATACTGGTGTGGTCATAGTATGTACATGTGTTGAGCAGTGTCTTTGCTGTGTGCTGTTCTTCTGAAGCTCTTCTAAGAGCTGAGGAGCCAGAACTGGCTCAAGCTGGAACACAACGTAACTGTAAGTTTTGAGATATTCAGAAGATCGTAACTGTATATTTAACTGTCATTCCACATAGTTAAACTTTAGAGCATTGGAGCTGGCAGAGTTCAAAATTTGGATGGATTTCTCAGTCCATAAATTGTGTGCTTTCCTTGGACAATGCATATAAACGGGATAGATTTTTAATTACAGCCTGGTACACGAGGGCATAGATGGGTGGACTCAGCTCATTATAGAAGGAAACCCCAGGTGCTTTGCCTGACTTTGTAACTGCTCCTCTGAATACTGGCTTATACCCAAATTACTGACTCATTTTGAATTTTAGCAGAGTTGTAAGTCTTAGTTGCTGGTGGTTGATCCACGTTAAGTACTACAGCAAATCACTAAACTTTGGGCAGCTGCTGGACGGTTCGTGTGTGCTCTGTGGTAAGGATCAGATACGAGGCAGACCTTGTAGCTCTGCAGAATGCTGAGAGACACTTGCAAACTCAAGGAAATACATTAAACATTTTAAATGGAAAATTTTACCATTTCTGGAAGTTTAAATCCAGAAGTGTTGTAGTTAGCATGTTTAGTAATGCTGTGGTAAGGAATTGCACAGTACCAAAAATCATATTTGTATTTCTTAATTTTATAAATGATTAATTAGAAACATCTCTAACAGCTAGTAAAAAGAAACTGAGAGTGTCAAACTGCCTTCCTTGCCAGAATTTTTATCTTACAGTTGCAGATTGCAGTTCATCCCCCCTCTCCCTCCCACACCCCAGCTTTGTTTGGAGCTGATATTTTTCATATCTCAGAGCAACAACCTGAAGCTTCCTTGCTGATGGGCAAACACAAGTCCTGTGAGATTTATGATGTGCACCAAGATGTGCCTATGCCAATAACAGGTGCTTCAGTTTAAACTCTTAATAATTCATATATTTTTGTAAATCAGAAGGCAAGCAAATAGAATGTTGCTGTGGAGAAGATATTAATCATGGTAATGATGTTGAAATCCTTCAGAGAATGTTGTGAGTACAACTTCAATCAAGTTTCATCCTGGAGGCTTTTACTTTAGAGAAGCTGAATACTAGATTAAGGCATGTCACGTTGTGAGACGTAAGGCTTATTGAATTCTGATACATTTTTGTCCTCAAATAGGTTTAGAAAAGCCTTATTATAATATGCTACCTAAACCATTCCAGAGTGCTCACAGATGCAACTAAAGAACTGCATCTTAAACCGAACGTGACTTTTCAAATGAAGAGCAAGTTTGTAACACAGTATAGGAGGAACGCGTGGCTCTATGATGCTTTTGCATGGATTATGGAGAATTCCTTAATTAACTCATTGAAAGGAGGTTCTCTCCCAGAGAGAGTGGTTGGTGAGGGGGGTGTTTCTGTGCCTGGCTGCCTGGTCAGCACAAGCTGCTGGTGGTGGCCGGAGCCCAGTCCCTTCGCAGCAGGTGGAAGGGACCGGTGATGTGACTAGACAGAAATTCCCTCTATGTCCCCGACGGCCAATCAAGCCCGGGTCGGTGGGGATTAATTACCTCGGGTGACCCTGGCGAGATTAGAAGGTTGTATGTGAGATGGGCAACTCCACCGTAGGCAGCTTAAGTGGCAGAATGACACCATTTCCTGGAATAAACACGTTGCTGGGTCAGGCGGCCTCCGCGAAAGAGCTGTGTGATGTCGGTGCTGGTGTGGGGTTTGTCCTTTTGAGTCGTACCCTGAGCTAAAGCCCGTCCCCTTGCCTGGATAGTAAAAGTTCTAATCAACAGATGAATGTGCAGGTACGTCGCTGACCGAGGCTTCAACTGTTTTAAGGTTTGTGTTTAACCTGCACTTGACCTATTGATTATGCATGTTAAATAAATTCACGGTGAAATAGAGAAGCCTGTTATTTACAAAGTGGGATGTTAAGTTAGCCAGGCAAAAAGAACAGAGGATTTCCAGCAACTGTTTTGTAAATAGTTTATATGTAAAATAGAGATTTTATTTTTAAAAATTTTTTCTTTTCTTCTGAAAATGCAATTTTAAACTCCTTGCCTTTGAGGCCGATCTATTTAGCACGATGGAAATAATTTATCTTAGCAGGTCTCTGACATTTTGCTTGGAGCAAGTTTTTGCATAACCGAGTAATGCCAGCATCTTGAATGCTAATGATTTGCATCAGGACGATAGCAGTTAGTGTTTGGGTTTTCTGCTCCAGTTCACGTTATTAAAATGTCAAAAACAAGTCCTTTTTGTGACTGTTTCTAGCCTCAGTTTTGTTAGTGAAACAGTGACACCTGCTGCTACACTTACGGGAAGGTTGGTTCATCTGTGAAAAGGAAAAGCCTATTTTGAGGAATTTTTCAGTGGACTGTAAAATCTGAGTTAATGGAGTCCTAGAACAGCAATCCTTTAGATCTCTCTCCTTGTCTTTCCATGAATTGTCAAGTGTCCTTTGACTATTTATTTGAAAGGTAGCTTCTATAGAAGTATTGCATGTATTTTGCTTTTTTAAAGTTGACTCGCAGAGTCTCATGCCGGGTAAGGAACAAGTGGGTTGTGCACACACACAAATTTTGTGGAGAGCACCTGGGTGTTTCGGTTCCGAGTGGGTGATGGTTTGTTGGAGGTGGCTTCTTTAACCCATTCAAGCCCCTTCAGTGTCAACTCCTGAGGGTGGTTCCCTCAGTGTGGTCATGTCTTAACTCCTCACCCTCTCTTGCATTCTGTAGTTTCTTATGAAAACATATTTAAGGCAGAATTTAAACTGTATTCATGCATTTTGAATAAACTGACGTGTTTTCAGAGAGGAGGAAGAGAGCTCTTTCTTCCTCTTCCCTCTCCCCTCGCCTTTAACTGGAGTCTGCCCACTATAACCTCACTTGCAGCCTCAGGCTTTCTTTTCTCATTCTCCTTGTACGAAGTCTAACACACAACGCTTGGATTTTTTGGGGGGCCTCAGAAGATCACCTTGTTACAGACACTGTTCCGGGTAAATGGACAACAGGAATTAAGCTCTCGATGCTTGTTGTGGGTTGCTGCCTTCTGAGGCCCATCAGGAGAATTAATTCATTTACCATTTGCTTCATGGAAGGGTTCTGGGAGTTTAGGGGGTGGGTTACAGGATTTATTTAGTAGCAGAAAACTATTCCTTGGTATTTTAACCTGGAGAGGATGGAGTTTGCAGGTGAGCTGTGGACAGAGAAATTCAGCAGTGTTGGAAAGCAAGATGTTTTGGCCATATGCAGATATATCATTGTGGATGGCAAAAATCAATATTTAGGCTCTTAAATATATTTAGGGAGGGTTACAACACTAAAACTTAAGGAAATCTTTTCTGTAGCCACGTTTGTTTGATCTTTCCTAATGCTTGGGGATTTTTTCCGTATAAGCAGTGTCATTTTTTTACCACTTCCTTAAAACATCACAGGATGTTTGGCTTGTCTTAATGTTAGGCCACTTCTAACAGCAAAGTCAGACAGGGAATGCTGTGGCTATTTTATTTTTCTGTGTGATAAGGAATAGCAAAAACAATGCTACAAATTTCTCTTACCATTTTTAGTTTATTTTTTAATTTTTATTTTTTAGCAGCTGCAAGGGACCATTCTGGTAATTCTGTGTGATCACATTCAGTAACAGAAATTTCTTTCATTAATTCCTGTCTGAAGCGGATTGTTTCTTCTGGAAAGTTTTAAATCAAATTTATGTGCTTTCTAAAATGAGATACCCTTGCACATGGTAGTCATCTGGATTGCTTTGAAAGATAAGGAGCGAGAGTCTCTTAATAGACAATGCGTAAATAGTGTTTTGTGCAGTTTTCCTTAGTATAATTATGGGTAATGGTAATTACTTTGTCATTTTGTCAGTGCTTATGTGCTTGTAAAACTATAATTTCAATAAAGACTATAGTTTAATTAATAAATAAATAATTCCAGGCTATAATTTTTCTTCCATAACTTCAGTGGAAACATAAGCCTGAAATTCCTGACCCTGTTTTTTGAACAATTATATTTCTTGATTACTGATGGCAGTTTTGAGAAGATGGCTTAGAGTTGGTCATAATGTTTGTGCTACTAGATCTTGTGCTTCCAAGATGTGAGCTATCAGGTTTCACTATTTTAAAATGGACAACGTTAAAAATAAAATTTGAGAGGAGCAACAACATTACTACACAAGATGTTGGTCAGAGCTCTCCAAGTACTTTTAAAATGTAGCTGTTCATTTTTAGTGACATAAAACAGCACATGTATTTGTCAACACGTGTACGTGGACATTATCACCTCTGTGCTCACCCTGCAGAAGAAGCCTGTCCCTCCATGGTATTTATAAGACAAAATAGCGTATCTGAACGGGGCAGCTGAGCAGAAGAAACAGAAGAGAAAATAAATTGAGAGGTTCTGAGGTTATACAGCTGATACGTAGAAATTGCACATTCTGCAGTAAAGGGGACTTCTGAAGTCTGGGAGATAATGCTTGGAACATCATGTTCATTATGATTTCAGGGTGCAGACAGGTGTTACAGGTTTTGGCAGAGGTGTTTTAATATTATGTTTACCGGTGTGCAGTGATTGTAACTTAAAATATTATCATTCAGTGGGAGGTAAGACAGCATCAGTGTTTCTGCTGCTCTGAGTACAAGTTGCTGCACTTTGTGTGACCAAGTTGTTATAATGTGTAAATCCCATTTCATTTCAGCAACAAATAGCTCGTCCTTCTCAAGAAGAAAAAGTAGAAGAAAAGGTAGAAGAGGAAAAAGCAGAAAAAGCAGAGAAAAAAGAGGAGGAAAAGAAAGATGAGGAGGAAAAGGATGAGAAGGAGGAATCTAAGTAAGTATATGTACTGGAAATGCATTAATTTGCTTTAGATTGCAGTTTTTTGCACAGATCACGCCAGAATTTGCATTAGTCTGATGGTGAAATCTGGACTGAAAACTGTTAGGGTAGGCTTTGTGTATTAAAATTTTTGTGGATGTACCAATTTCTGTGTCTTGCTGAACTAATCAGACTGATGGAAAAAGCCATGGTATTGGTTTTTTGCACATGTAATAATTTTCATATCTTGTTGGTTTGGTTTTTTTCTATATGTTCTATCACAGTGTTCATATTTTCTTTGAAGTTGATAATATAGTGTATCTATGTTGTTCTCTAACAACTCTAAATTGTGGGCAGTAAGTGAATTCTGTCTCAGTTAAAGGTGTCTTTTGGGTTTGTGGAGTTTTGTAGTTTGGTTTGGTTTGGTTCTGGTTTGTTTTTTTAACATCCATATTCAGGAATATCTGCCCATAACGGCTGTCTGAAGGTAACTGAATTGTTTTAACTATTCCCAGAGAGAATACCAAAGAAAAGGACAAAACTGAAGTTGCACCAGAGGAGACGGAGGAAAGGGAGCAGGCCACTCCTAGGGGCCGAAAAACTGCCAATAGCCAAGGTCGTCGTAAGGGCAGAATCACCAGATCAATGACAAATGAAGCTGCACAAGCCAATGCTGCTGCAGCTGCAGCCACTGAAGAGCCACCACCGCCTCTTCCACCCCCTCCAGAACCTTGTGAGTAGCATTTATAGGACACTCGGGGACCCATCTGGTCATGAGGCTCTTCGCTGACATAGGGCTATTTTCTGTGCATGAAGTGCACTTTTTCTTTTTAGTATTTATCATTTTGTGACTGTGTGGTGCTGTTAAACTGCACACCTGTAACTTCACGAACAGTATATGTCTGATCAGGTGACTGTTAGAACCACGTTGGGGAAAAAAAAAGGCAGTTCAGCCTTTCTGTGATAACTACTTTTTCTTTCTTTGCAGAGCTAATGGTGGATCTGTGGGGATCCAAATGTCTTTGACACAGATTGACTTACAGGCCTGATATTTGAGTGCATTAGGGAGTTTTATAATTTGAAATAGATCCTAGCAAGTTGTTTTGTTGTTGTTATTCCTGCACTAGATGACGAGAGACTTCTTTAAAATAAAATGTTACTTTCTTGGCACATACGGTTACAAGAGACAACGCATTTCTGAAAAGGCTGACAGAATTTGTGGTGGTGCAGAAATACTAGCAAATAGAGTACCTTGTGGCTAGTAAATAATTAGCCAAGGTGGCAGGGCAGGTTTTTTTTTTTTCCTTTGCAGTTCTCTGCTGTGGCAGTTTGTTACTCCTAGATCTTCAAATGGGTAGTTAGAGGCAGCTGCCGTTCTAGAATTTGTAAAACCTCTTTTGTTGCTCAAATATTCTGCATATCCTAAAGAACAGAGTAATTGGACAAATTCGTTCTCATTTAACTGTAACATCAGATTATGATCAATATTCTTGCTCAGTTGATATGGTGGGTTTTTGTCAGCAGATAGACTAAGGCAGTAGTGGTCTTCAGGTTTGTCTTTTTTTAAACCATTTTTGCAGGATTTTCTGGAAAATCCAAAATAGCTTTTCAGTGGATCAGATACTTTATAGTGTCCTACTTCTATTGTTTGTTAATGAAAGCTGTTGAAGTGTCTGTGTTGAATGCTACGGGTAATGGCATGTTTTATGAAAAGGAAATGGAGGCTGTTGCATCTTAATGCCATTCAGAAATTTAAACTGAATTATATCAAATCCAAGAAATGACTGGAAAGTATTTTGCGTTGAGTCACACTTAGTTTCCCGCTTGGTTTTACTTACTGTTTGGGGTTTTTTTTGTTTTATTTTTCTCTGTTTGTCCAGTAGGAGACTCGGTGAATACAAGAATAGTAGATTTCTTGATACACACTAATCGATAAATAACCATTTCAGTCCTCTCCACAGCAGTCAGTGAAATAAGATGGAACTAGCTTATAGCATGTTGGATTGCTGCTTTTAGTAGTTGATGGTAATTATTGTCTATATCTCTAGCTTGGTTTAATGGAGAGTACTTTCCACTCCTGAGCAGCTTTCCCAAATGATTTGAACAAGCCCTAACCTAAATAGATTAGTTGACTATGGGATGCGTGTTTTGTGCCATAATAGTGCATCCTGGTCTGATCAGTGTCTTTGTTTCTCTTTCAGCTTCTGCAGAGCCTGTGGAGACATCCCGCTGGACAGAAGAAGAAATGGAAGTTGCTAAGAAAGGTAAACCTTTTTGACTTACTTCTGAATACTTGTATTTACAAAATGATTATAATTTACTGAATACGAGTGCTGTCACTTTTTGCAGCACCACACTGAATGTGGCAGTTTGTTACTCCTAGATCTTCAAATGGGTAGTTAGAGGCAGCTGCCGTTCTAGAATTTGTAAAACCTCTTTTGTTGCTCAAATATTCTGCATATCCTAAAGAACAGAGTAATTGGACAAATTCGTTCTCATTTAACTGTAACATCAGATTATGATCAATATTCTTGCTCAGTTGATATGGTGGGTTTTTGTCAGCAGATAGACTAAGGCAGTAGTGGTCTTCAGGTTTGTCTTTTTTTAAACCATTTTTGCAGGATTTTCTGGAAAATCCAAAATAGCTTTTCAGTGGATCAGATACTTTATAGTGTCCTACTTCTATTGTTTGTTAATGAAAGCTGTTGAAGTGTCTGTGTTGAATGCTACGGGTAATGGCATGTTTTATGAAAAGGAAATGGAGGCTGTTGCATCTTAATGCCATTCAGAAATTTAAACTGAATTATATCAAATCCAAGAAATGACTGGAAAGTATTTTGCGTTGAGTCACACTTAGTTTCCCGCTTGGTTTTACTTACTGTTTGGGGTTTTTTTTGTTTTATTTTTCTCTGTTTGTCCAGTAGGAGACTCGGTGAATACAAGAATAGTAGATTTCTTGATACACACTAATCGATAAATAACCATTTCAGTCCTCTCCACAGCAGTCAGTGAAATAAGATGGAACTAGCTTATAGCATGTTGGATTGCTGCTTTTAGTAGTTGATGGTAATTATTGTCTATATCTCTAGCTTGGTTTAATGGAGAGTACTTTCCACTCCTGAGCAGCTTTCCCAAATGATTTGAACAAGCCCTAACCTAAATAGATTAGTTGACTATGGGATGCGTGTTTTGTGCCATAATAGTGCATCCTGGTCTGATCAGTGTCTTTGTTTCTCTTTCAGCTTCTGCAGAGCCTGTGGAGACATCCCGCTGGACAGAAGAAGAAATGGAAGTTGCTAAGAAAGGTAAACCTTTTTGACTTACTTCTGAATACTTGTATTTACAAAATGATTATAATTTACTGAATACGAGTGCTGTCACTTTTTGCAGCACCACACTGAATTCATAATTTCAAATTTGCTGTTGGTTTGATTTTTGTGGTGTGTTTTTATTTTTTTAACGAAAGCAAACATCTTTAACAGACAAAATCAGTTTTTTGAGACTCAGTTTGATGTTTTTCATATGGGTTACTTGGAGCAATTTGTTGTTGTACTTGGACCATGGAAGTTTGTAAAACAGATGTGAAGGTGTGTGTGTCATATGTAAATTTCCCAGCTAATGTATTTATAAGTTATAAAAATTCCTTTTGTATAAGACAGTCTTTTTATAGAAAGGCTAATCTAGTTTATAACTTGTCTAGTTGTTTTGCAGATACTGTAACCTGCAAATCTTATGCATAAAATCAGTATTTTAGCAGAGGTGTTACATACTAGCAACAGCAAAGAGTTAAGTTTGAAGGCTTAAGACATTCAGGTCGGCACAGCTTTTTTTCACCTTTTAAGTAGTTATCAAATACATTGCCACAGTGAGTGTTCTCTTAAGGAAATCAATACTTCTATATCTTACCTATCCATAGGCATTATTTCGTTTATTTGGGTTTGGATAATTGAATCATTTATCATAGTAAATATTGGTTCTTATTTGTTTGAACAGGCCTAGTGGAGCATGGGCGAAACTGGGCAGCAATTGCCAAAATGGTTGGGACAAAAAGTGAAGCTCAGTGTAAGAACTTCTACTTCAACTATAAAAGGAGACACAATCTGGACAGCCTCCTCCAGCAGCACAAGCAGAAGGTAAGCACAGAGGGCACTGAATATTTTGCAGGGGAAAACTTGGCATCGTTCTGAAGGCATTCATCACGGTTCACTAAGACTTTTGCAGTCACCACTTGTTTCCTTTTCTACTTGTTTTTGTGTTGTGACATAAATCTAGAAAAGGCAGCTGATGCTCACTGACCTGTGGTGCTAATCAGTTCTTGCTTTAAAATGCAGTAGAAAATTTTCTATCAGATAGAACACTCAGCCTGAAGAATTCCTTAGTGCTCTGAAAACCACCTTCCTTATCAGTAGACCAGCAACTATAGAAGTTCAGCTCATCACTGTAGAAGAGTTACCTTGAAACACAATGAGCAGTAACCTTACAAAACAGAGCAAGAGAGTTGGTAGAAGACCAAGAAATGAAAGATTTGGGGCATCTAAAATAGAATCCTGAGTATTGGAATCCTGTAAACTGTGATGTTATCCTAGTCTTCTCTCACTGGACTGAAGAGCATCAGTGTCTGTGTTTGCTGCAGTCATTCTGTTGTCCCCCAAACATACATTGACACAGTGGGTTGTTCCTGAACTTACTTTTGATCAGAGCAGCAAAAACTGGTCTGGAGTTGAAAGAGTGTGTGCCCGTGTGAATGATTCTGTGCTGAATAGATATTCTTTGCCTTTCATTTCAACCTCAGATTGATAAGTGGGAATGCATGTAAAAGGAAATAATACTTGCAAATTTTTGGTACAATGTAAGTTCTGTGTCTTTATCAGTCTTCGCGAAGGCCCCGTGAGGAGCGAGATGTATCACAGTGTGAGAGTGTAGCTTCGACTGTGTCAGCTCAGGAGGATGAAGATATTGAAGCATCTAACGAAGAAGAGAATCCAGAAGACAGCGAAGGTAAATTTTCTGGGATGGAAATTTGTATATGTACAGAAAGGGACATATGTTTTGTGCCGATTATATGCTCAGAAAGCTGTGTTCCATTTCATAATGTAGTGCTCAAATACTATGTTTCAGTTAGATTTTAGCATTTATAGTATTGAGCAGCCTTAAAATGTTATTGCTTAGTACTTTGAGATAATTTGACTATGCTGTCTTCTAGAGGATAGACTGGTAACACTTGTTCAAAAAATGGCACATTATGAAACAAGTTTAGTCAAAGATATGTACCCTTTGCTAGTTGATGGTCTCAGTAAAGCTTCAGACAGGCAAATTGAAGTGTTGGGGTTTTTTAAATGTGTTGGTTGCAACTGCTAACAATTATAGGCACTCAATATCAGTCAGTCCTGGCCAGTCTTTCATGAAGCTATAAGCAATAGAATTCATGAACGATGAATCGGAGAATGTGGCAAAGTGTTGGGGATTTGGGGTTTTCATTGAGGTTTTTGGTTGTTTTTTTTTAAGCTACTCTGTGTGTGTAATCCAGCAAATTGTCCATTTCTATAGTAGGTCAAAATAATTGCTTGTTTTTCAGACGGGTAGGTTAAAATTGATGGATTCTTACTTTATCCATTTGTTTAACAAACATTTCTAAAATACGGATGTTGCTCTAAGGAACAAAGATTCTTATCAGGAGATTAGACTTGAATATAAATCTATGTTTTAGATGTTGCCATAGTTTTTCATAAATGTTTTTATTTATCCAAAAGCTATTTATAATATAATGGAGTTCATGAACTAGGCTAAAAAGAGGAGGAGGGTTTTTCACTGCAAGAATCAATACCCTTCTTTAATTGGTATCCAGTTCTTGATGCTGTTTACACCTTTCCCAGAGCAAAGAAGACATTTTCAATAAAACAATGGTGTAAAGGAAGTAAATTAGAACTGTTAACTTTACAGCAAGAACTGCAAGTCAGCATGTCTATAAAATGTGACTGATTTTGATGTAAAATCAGGGTTTTGCCACTTCTGCCAGTGATGCCTCTAAAACATGTTAATTTAAATTATTTAATCCGTGCCTTTAGTACTGTGAATGTTGACTCTAATCTTGTAATAAAGCTGCATCACATATGGAAGTACCAAGTGTCTGACATACACACAAGAATTTACTTGGCTGGCTGTCTGTAAGATCAGAGATGGCTAAGGAGTCTTATTTCTGTAATTCCAGTCTCCCTCCTTAACCTGTATCTGCTGATTATTCTAAAGAAGCAGTTCATCGAAGCCTAGTTAGATTTCATTAACGCTGAATCTTTATGCCAAAACTTTTTTTTTTTTTTTTGTCCCCCAGGTGCTGAAAATAGTTCTGATACAGAAAGTGCTCCGTCTCCAACTCCAGCAGAACCTGCTAAACCAAGTGAAGAAACTCCATCCGAAAGTGCTGCTTCGAAGGTAACCACTGAGGCAACAGCAGAACAAGAATCGACTATCAAACCTGCACCCAGCACATCTCCCTCCTTAACAGCCCAAAGTGTCTCAGCAGCTGAAAGTCAAAACCCTGAGCCACAGGTTAAGGAAGAAATAAATAATGAGGCAGAAGAGCCCATGGAAGTTGACAGTAGAAGCCATCCAGTTGAAGCTAAGCCTGTGATTACTCTTCCAGTGCATACCAAAGTAGAACCTGTAGAGACTGAAATGAGGCTACCAGAGAATATTCAAGTGAAAATAGAGAGCGATACCAAAGACAGAGATATGGAGAAACCCAAGGAAAAGTCAGAACCCGAGGAAATGGACTATAGTCTGTCACAACAAGTTAATACAGCAAGACAAGAATCCCATTCAGACAACGATTCGAGTGCCACCTGTAGTGCTGATGAGGAGGTTGATGGAGAACCTGACAGGCAGGGGTGAGTTTAATTGTTTCATGTTCAAACATCGTTATCTTTAAGAAGTTGTTTAAACAGTGGTTTTGCTTAATAGTGATCCAAAAACTGTCATCAGTAGCAACTTTGTTGTTAAGAATTTCTACTTAGGGAAAGAATTTCTAAGGACTCTTTGCTAGAAGTACAATAAGGAGAAATGTTGACTTAAAATTTTGATGTAAAGCAAAAGGAAGGGTCTTTTAAGGCAGGGGTAAGGCAAAATTCCATGGTGGTAGACTGACTAGATAGGTATCAGACTAGCACAACTGCCTGGCAAGCAAGAGAATAAGGGAAATCAAGCTATTTGGTATCTGTTCAGAGAATGGGAATTGTGTTAAATTAATGGGTAAGTGTCCTGAGAAATGGTTGACCTCTTTCTCCAGAGTGTACAGTGTCTTCACACAAATTCTAGTTCCTGGGAGCTTGGCCTTAAACACTGAATAAACCATATGTCTGTTTAAAGTCCTATATACTCAATGCTGCACGTCTTTGGAACAATTGTAATTTTGGGGGGGGATGGATAACACCACTGATGATTCATATTTGAAGTCTTTTTTAGTGTTCTGCAGGTGTAATTCCTGCATAACCGTAGCATAGTACCAGAGCCAATGTCCTCTCCCTCTCAGTGGTCTTAATATACACACAGTACCAAGGATAGATGTTAAATGTCAAAAGTATCCGATATCGTTGTTCTGTGTGTGCTCTTTGGAGGAGTGCAGTTGATGGTGTTTCTTGCCTCTTCAGACATCATCTTTCCACTTCACAAATACATTAGCCCTCCATGTGAAAGTAGTCTGTGGTATACGCTACTGCTTATTTATTTCCTGTGGACTAAATATTATCTAATGTTTCCTATTTTTTTTCAAAACATTCTTTTAAAGAAGATTGCAGTCTTGCAGTACACAGTGTGATTTTGATCTTTCAGCTATTTATCCAGTGAGTTAAATGTGTTAGTTTTTTGAAGTTGGAAGGCATACTTTTGCCTGTAAATTTTTTTAAGATGTTTAATTGTCATCATTTTGGTGATATTTTTCCCTTCTTTCTGCCTCTTTTTCCAGTATCTTCAGCAGAGAGTCAAAGCCTTCACTGTTAAATCCCACTGGGTCAATACTGGTATCATCCACAATAAAGCAAGGGCAGATGGACCTACAACAACTTCACCACCGAGCTGCTGTCATACCACCTATGGTAGGGAGTGTTTTAAGTGATGTTTGAAGGACTATCTGCTGCACCACTAAAGCAGGAAAAAATTGTGAAACAAACGAAGAAATGTATTATTTGCTTTGTTATTATAACACTTTTGAGGGGTTAAGTACAAACAAATATGCAAGTAACAGCTTAAAAACAGGTGTGGACCATTTGAAACATTCATACGTAGACTACAGCCACTGCGGTGGAGGCATTGAGCAAAATTCTGTAGTAATTACCTGTATTAAGATGCCTGATGTTGATACCTTCTCCTGGCAGGTTTCTTGCAGTCCCTGTACTGTTCCTGTTGGGACACCGGTGAGTGGTTACGCGCTCTACCAACGGCACATCAAAGCGATGCACGAGTCAGCGCTGCTGGAGGAGCAACGCCAGAGGCAAGAGCAGCTGGATATGGAGTATCGAAGCGCTGTAAGCCCTTGTGGCACTTCCAAGAGCCCTAACGTTGAGTGGGAAGGTAGGCGTTTTCACCTCTGTCATGGAAATAACCCTGAATTTTATGTCCAGCTGGCAAATTAGAAACAGTTTAGCAGAAGACTTGGGGTGGGGAGGTTGTGCCAGAAAAGCATATCCTATGGGAGGCCCAGTTCTGTACTAAGTGTGTAACTTTTGCCTCAACTTTCTGTACTAGGAAAGGAGTAGGTCCATCAACTGTACTTTGTAACAGGGAAATTGAGTGAGACTGATGTGCTGAATGTTAACAGTTGCATAATTTTGCATTTTTAGGTTTTATATTCTTGCATGTTGTTTCTGTTGTCTCCACAGTATTAGCAACATAAAGTGTCACGTTCTTGGAAACTTGAGTACTCTGTGTTTAATATGCACAATAATTTTAAATTATGTTATGAAAACGCTTCACCTTAATTACTTTTACCTAAGTAAAATGAAAGAAACAAGTGGGGTTTTAGCCTGTTCAAATAGTGAGAAGGGAGCTTGTAGATTTGTGGAGGGAAGGGTACGTCTGTGGGTTTTTGGAAGTTGCTTCTTTAGGTGGAAAGTCTGAGGTTGCTTAGAAGTACCATTTAACTGAAATACTACCTGAATAACTCTTGGCATTGGCAGTACAGTGTTAAGAAGTGTGGGAAAGTTGTGAGGTGAAGTCTCTGCCAGCAAAAATCAAGGTGGTTACTGAGGGAAGGATAACATGGTTAATGTAAATGGGTTCTACAAGCCTGGACGTCTTAGTCTAAAGACTAGAAGAGGCTGAAATATCATCAGATCGTTACAGCAGCTGCTTCCTAAGACACACTGTGCAGAGGAAGCTTGTCCACCCGCTGCTGAGAGTAGCAGAGTGTCCACAGAGTCTTTAAAAACCTTGCATTGTATCTGCCAAAACGCTGCTGTGTCGTGGGGCATCTTGTCAAACTAAAGGGCCTGTTGCTGAATTGGCTTATGACAACTACACAATACTTTACCATGAAATAAAATGGTAAATATCCTTTTGAAAGCTATTATGGGATGACCAGTCCCATCTTTCTTTGGCTATGAAGGTTAAACATGTAACTTCACAGCTGCAGTAGGCTTGTTCTGGCTTGTAATTTCAAATACTTAAATTGTGCATTGCCAAAGGAAAGGAATTTTTAAAGTTCTGGTACTGAATTTTAATTTCCTAAAATCAGTAAAAATATATTTTCCCTTTAAGCACCATTATTGAGCAATATTAGTGTTTGAAATTGGATTTGTAATTGCTCTGGGCAAGCAAACAAGGAACATGGGATTGGCATGTAAGTCTGGCTGAACTTGCATGTAAACCTGGCTGATGTACAGGATTTGGAAAGGAATCTTCTTAAATGAAGTCTTTTTCAATAGTAGAGCTTTCACTTAAAGGGCTTAAAGGATCCAGATACTGTTTTTCACATATAGAAAGTATGAGAGAGTTTTCAAATCTTTAGATATAGAAGTGTAAGACATATTAAGTGTAAGACATATTAAAGTAAGCTGTACCTTAATATTACTTTTTAATTGAGACATTTGTACCATCTGACATCTGACATTGGAGTATGCCCTTTGTTAAAACTGTGTTGTAAAGTGGACCTTTTGATTTTCATTTCTAACCCAGGGTTCTTTTCTTTCTGGTAACTTTAACCTTCACAGGAAAACCGGTGGCCTATATGCCTTACGCTGAGGTCAAGCGAGCGATGGAACAGGAGGCACAAGTGCAGAACACGGCGACCAGGTCAGCATCACCCTACAGGCTGTCTCCCAGAGAGGTCAATAAAGCCTCCCCCCAGCCCGACATGAACGCAGCTCGCTATAGTGTCCCACCAGGTAAGTATTTTGGTGCACGTTATAGCAATATGTAGTTTGCCTTTGGAAGTCACTTCTGTGACTTGACGTAGTATCAAATTATTCTCTAAACACTTGGTAAATTAACAAATTCACAAAATTAACAAAGAAGAAAACAGATTGTTTTCTGTGTCTGCATGTAAGTAAGTGCTTGGTATTTTTCTAGCTCCAGTGAGGTTGTATTTTTGTTCTTAATGGCTGCATCAGCTGCACAACATGTATTTTATTAAGCAAACAGGATGATCTGAAAAGTATTAGAACAGCGTAGGGATGAAGTCATTGAGTTTTTCAGCTTAATACAAATACCATCATATTCATGGGTGGCCTTTCTTATGAAGGGAAGAGTTGAGGAAAAGAGAAAGTTGCTATCTTTGCATTAATTTCTGTCTGTAATTGCTTAATATTATAGTCTGAATATTTTAGAAAACTGTGAAATAATAGACAAATCTTAATTCTGAAACTTGGATTATTGCTTTTTCCTCCAGAGTACAATGTCATGCTAAGGAAAGACAAAATCAGGGAAACTTAGATTATACTTGACTCAGTTGCATTCCATTTAAAGAATAAGAACTTTCTTTAAAAACAGGAAAACAACCAAAAAAACTTGAATGTACCCAGGGCTGTTATTTTTAAAAGCTTAGTTTTCAGAGTCTGCAGTTCTACAGTGCAGCTTTTACTATTTCTTTTTGAACTTTGGTGCAAGGTTAGATATTCTCCATTCAGTTTCTGTGCATAACATATACCTGGACATAGTGAATTTCAGAGTTGTAAATACAGCTAGATAGCTTTCGGGTACTGTGAGGCAGTTCTCACCAGAAATGGTCAGATAAACTGTGCTATTTCTGTTCTTCTTGTCTCTAACAATTCAAAGAGCTGAAACAGACTAACGTACAATTTTTTCCCCAAGTTCTCCAGCCAGCACCTCACCAAGTAATAACCAATATACCCGAAGGAGTCCGCCTTCCAACAACCAGACCCACCAGACCACCACCACCACTCATTCCATCCTCCAAAACAAGTGTGCCATCAGAAAAACCTTCCTTCATCATGGGAGGCTCAATCTCACAAGTAAGAGAGTTATTATTTGCAAATCTGTGCTTACATCAATTTTTCTCCCTTTCACCAACCTTCAACATCTTGTACTCAAACGTTAACAGCATTGACACTTTTAAGACCTATACACACCATCTCTAAAACTCCAGGAATTGCGTGTAGCTTAGAAAATAGAACACATTGCAATAATTTATATCTAGGAGCATGGTTGAGTATGTCCAGCTTAGGTGAACTGCATCTCCAAACTGTGGTGTTCTGCACTTTGGTACTTTACACAGTTATACTGTAGCATTTGGAGATAGGATCATAGTAGTATTAGAATTCTTCTTTAAACATAGATGTGAATCTTCATTCCAGAAACAAGAATTAACATATAATATATTTGTTGTTTTAGGGAACACCTGGCACTTACTTAACATCCCATAGTCAAGCTTCCTACACCCAAGAAACGGCAAAGCCATCAGTGGGTTCTATCTCTCTTGGGCTGCCAAGGCAGCAGGAGTCAGCCAAATCTGGTAAGAAAAGAAAAGCTGAGGTGTGGTTTATATGGGCTATTTAATGACTTATAATTAAAGAAAAAAACCTAACAAACGTTTTCTTTTTCTTCTTCTGTATAGCTTCCCTGCCCTATATCAAACAAGAAGAATTCTCTCCCAGAAGTCAGAATTCCCAGCCTGAGGGACTCCTGGTCAGGGCACAACATGAAAGCGTGGTTCGAGGTAAAGAAAGTCATACAGATTAAGAGAGTTTGTCAGAGCCTGAGAAAGCTGACAGAATTAACTTCCAGAGCTCAAACTGCTGAATTGTAATTTTTGAATATTGTATGATTATCTGCCCCCTATTTTCTGAGGCATGTGTGTTTGTAGCTACCTCCTCCTGTCCACATGGCTCACTTAAAAACATTTGTTTCAAGGCACGTCAGTGTCAAAATTCAGTTCTTCACTAGAGCACACACAGAGCAGTACGTGTGAAATAGCCCAATACATCAAAAATAAGAACAACGAAATACCATGGATTAATGCTATAAAAGACTTTTAGTCTGTAAAAGACTATGTTAAAAGAAGAAATAATCTAACTGCCTCAAATGCTGCTAAACTGAATTTTTCCCTGTACTTTAGGGTAAACTAACCATTCTCACTGGAGTTTTTAATTATTTCAAATAGAGTAGCTACTTCTTTTTATTCTGTTATTTATCATGGTGTCTTATTATTTCAAACCAGGTACCACAACGATACAGGAGGGAAGTATAACACGAGGAACACCAACCAATAAAGTTTCTGTTGAGACCATTCCTTCTTTGAGAGGCTCCATAACTCAGGTATTTTTCCCCTTACTGAGAAGGCTGTAGCAAACCAGCATATTTAAACCATCACTTTGAATGTGTTTGCATGTCTGAAAAAGTAAATTAATACCACATAGTAGGAACTGCCTTGAAAAAAGAAATTTTAATACAATCAGATGGTCAAACTCCACTATTGCTGAAGTCAGCATTACCATGATTTTATCTTCATATATGAGTCTAAAGTTTTTTAAATAAAACCACTAGAGCCTTTGGTGAAAATAGCATCACATCTGATTTTCAGATATTAAAATCAACTGTAAGCAGTCTTGTGCAGATGCTATTTAAATCCAAAAAGTTAAATTAAGCCCTTTTGTCTCATCATTTTTGAAATGCACTGTTTTGGTTGGTTTGGGATCTCTAGTTATGGAGATCAATAGTAACAAATCTCCACTGAGAAGGGGAGGTTTCGTTACTTTGGATAGAAATAAAGCCTAATGGCACCATTAAGTTTGTAGTGTATGTTGTCTTCCCCCTAAATGTTACTATAGGGTACATGTTATACGTCATGAAATACTTCTTATTGTACTCCCTATTCTTCTTTCCATATTTTTTAACAAGGAGGCAAACTGCTTACTAATAATCTTACAAATATTTAGGTTAAATGTCTAATATTAGAGGCGGAAGTTTAAGCTACACAGTTTAATACAGTAATCGGTTTTCCAGATCTAAAAAATGTTGTGGGTTTTGGGATTGGTGTTTTTTTTGTTGGGTTTTTTTTTCCCCCCTTCCACTACATGTTATACGTCATGAAATACTTCTTATTGTACTCCCTATTCTTCTTTCCATATTTTTTAACAAGGAGGCAAACTGCTTACTAATAATCTTACAAATATTTAGGTTAAATGTCTAATATTAGAGGCGGAAGTTTAAGCTACACAGTTTAATACAGTAATCGGTTTTCCAGATCTAAAAAATGTTGTGGGTTTTGGGATTGGTGTTTTTTTTGTTGGGTTTTTTTTTCCCCCCTCCACTGCTCCCTATTCTCTTAAATAAATCCCCATGTTCTGAATTACATTTGATTGCTTTAAACGCAGGGTACCCCAGCTCTGTCCCAGTCTGGTATAGCGGCTGATGCGTTGCTGAAGGGGACTATCACCCGGCTGGCTACAGAAGACAGCAGCCCAGAGAAGTGCAGAGAGGAAGCTTCAGCCAAAGGCCATGTTATCTATGAAGGCAAAAGTGGGCATATTTTATCTTACGATAGTGAGTATTTGTATATTCTACCTGATCAAAGTCAAGGCTGCAGCAGGTTGTGTGTTTATAATCTGTAGCTGCTCCCAAGTGGACAGGCGTAAACCCCAGTCACTGGGGTGTCATCTGGGGGAGCATTGACCTACACATGGGTTTGAGGGCATGAGAATTAAAATAATCCAGAAATTGTGCCTGTGTTCTGAAGAGTCTCCTGTACTATGTATTTAAAGTGTAGTTTAACTATTTAATTTCTGTGCCATTTATTTCCAATTTGGCATAGAATATTTTTATTTTGAAAGGTTGAACATTAAAATGATCTGTATTAAAATCAAAAGAAATGCATAAGTTAACTTTGAGCTTCAATTGAAATACTGATAAATAACTGTTTGAACAAATGTATTTTTAATAAACCATAAAATATCTGTTTAAGGCTGAGATTTAATGTTATGATATTATGTTGAAGTTGTGTTGTTGAAGTATTAATGACCTCTGGTCTCGTTAAACGTAATGCCCATGTGTCTTTTTTTTTTAATGTCCATTTTCCTAACCGTGCTCTTGTAAATTTTTCCAGCTATTAAAAATGTTCGTGAAGGAACAAGGAGTCCAAGAACTGCTCATGAAATTGGTTTGAAGAGAAGCTATGACACAATGGAAGGAAATATAAAGCAAGGAATGTCAATGCGGGAGTCTCCAGTGTCAGCACCACTGGAAGGTAAAAATAGCTGCTTTCAAGGTGTTTTGTGTTTTAGCCAAACCTTTTGCATTAAGCTAAGAGTATTTAGAGTTATTTTAATGAGCAGACTAAAAGTGAAATTAGATTTAAGTCTTGTATTACTAACCAAATCCATATAGTAACCACTACAATTAAAACATGCTGGAAACACAACTGGAGTAGGTGCCTCTTTTCTTTATTGTTTTGCTGGTGCCTTCCCATAACTGCAGGTAGTTCTGCTGGCCTCTCAGGAGACCTGACACACAGAACTGACTCTTCACAGTCCCAGAGGGTTGTTGCAGGGCTCAAACAGCCCTGAGTCCTACAGTGGGGACTCCATGGAGATACCCATTCACTTAAATACTGGTGTGGACCGTGGCACAGTAACATGCTGCTGTGACCTTTTGCATTCCTGCAATAAACCTCCAAAATTAGGCCAAGCAGAGGACTCGCACAGCTGCCATATCCTGCCTCAGGGCATCCCTGCCATTATTTTGATTTAATAAACTGTAATCAAACTAAGCCCACAAAGGTCAAGTCAGGCCATTTTAGAACTTTTCTGATTGTTTTTAAAAAACTCAAACAAAATAAAATGTTTCGTGCCTAAACTATGGGGTCTTACTCCATAAGTTTATGGCCTCAAGTTGCACCAGGGGAGGTTCAGATTGGATATTAGGAAAAATTTTTACACTGAAAGGGTTATTAAGCATTGGAACGGGCTGCCCAGGGAAGTGGTTGAGGCACCATCCCTGGAGGTATTTAAAAGACAGATTAACATAGTGGTTTGTGACATGGTTTAGTGATGATGGTTTTTATCAGAGTTAAGTTGATGGTTGGACTAGATGATCTTAAATGTCCCTTCCAACCTAGACAATTCTATGATTCTAAGTGCATTTTGTCCCAGCTTTGGGTAGCCCTTAAAGGCTATTTTCTATATATTTCCATCAGGTGGAACAATATGAATAAGAGGTTTCTAGACTCTATATAGAAATTCAGCATTGTCTTTCAATTTCTGATACATTTGGCTCGTTGCTGGGCTCTTTGGGCATATGAGAAGCTGCTCCAATGCTTTTTGTGCTCTTATCTCATCACTGACACATTTTCTGTCCTTAAACTATGGAAAATAATGAGTTCTTTGGGGTTTGATTTAGATTACTACTGTAGGAACAGTAAATTCAACTCTTCCCAGATGATTCAGTTTGAACTTCAATTAATTTGGAGATATGTTTTGGGATAGTTTTTTCTTTTTATTCCACTTCCCATTGTGAACACCTTTCTTTACTAGGTAAGGAAGGTGAAGTGTAAGAGAAGTAGTGACTGCTTTTGGGACAAAAGTTAAGCTTAATTATAAAAAATACCTTGTGTTTTTTAAATATGTTAAAACTTGCAACAACATAATAGCATGAATACGTGAACTGAGAGGTATTTTTTTAGGGCAGGATGGTGTTTATAACATGTTGATACAATGCCTGGCACAGTGAGGCCAGGCCCTCTGGGCACTAGTATGATACAGATACTATCTGTAATGTAAGGAGGGGGAGAGCTTCTGTTCTTTTGGGCTGTTTTTTTTGAACACTTGTTTAATTCTCTAAATTATGTTCATTTTAATTTTAGGTTTAATATGCCGTGCACTGCCTAGGGGAAGCCCACATGCTGAACTAAAAGAGAGAACAGTGTTGTCTGGCTCTATAATGCAAGGTAAAGTAGTGCAAGTTTTGAAGGCAAGCACTAATTAGATCCTCAAAAATCTGGATTTCTGAACCTCAAAACTGTTATTAACAACGGTAGCTGTGTTAAAGGTGGAACTTACTTTATTAAACATTTTTTCAGAGCATAAATCAGCAGCTTTCTGATATGCTGTATACAAAGCTAGTGTGTAAACATAGAATTTTATTTCTTTTTGGAATACAGCCTTTAATAAATATGAATACTTGATAATTAGCATTTTTTTAATGAACGGTAACAATTCCCCAGACCTCTGAAGATGTTACGTTATTTCCTTTATTTCACTGAAATAACTTGGGATTATTTGGCTTTCAATAATAGATGAAATATTTGTTCAGTATTATCTTTGTGGCAAGTTTTTAGTCTCAGAATATATTATTGTTGACTGTAGCAAACCAAAGTTCCTGTATTACGCCATGTAGTTGGTTACTCTGTTTATGAAAAAAGAGACTTGGTAATTATTAATACCAATAATGTGATTCTTTCTTTCTATAAAAGGCACACCAAGAGCAACAGCTGAAAGTTTTGAAGAAGGCTTGAAATACCCTAAACAGATTAAGAGAGAGTCACCTCCCATCAGGACGTTTGAAGGAGCCATTACGAAGGGGAAACCGTATGATGGAGTCACTACTATAAAAGAAATGGGTCGTTCCATCCATGAAATCCCAAGACAGGACCTATTAAGCCAGGAGAGTCGCAAGACTCCTGAAATGGTGCAGACGACCAGGCCAATCATAGAAGGCTCCATATCTCAGGTAAATTAAAAAGCAGTACTGGATTTATGCAGTTGCTTTACAGACTCAGTAGTGAATCATTTCAGGTTGGGAATGATGGGAATGAAACGTTGGCAGGATAACCTAACCTGAGCTTTTTTTCCTTTTCAGGGCACACCCATAAAATATGAAAGCAACTCTGGCCAGTCTGCCATCAAACATAATGTAAAATCTTTAATCACTGGACCAAGCAAGTTACCCCGTGGAATGCCCCAGCTGGAAATGGTGCCAGAAAACGTGAAGGTGGTGGAGCGAGGAAAATATGAAGATGTGAAGACCGGGGATGCAGTACGTTCCCGTCACACATCAGTAGTCAGCTCTGGTCCCTCTGTTCTCAGGTCAACTCTTCATGAAACTCCCAAATCACAGCTGAGCCCTGGGATTTATGATGATACCAATGCTCGGAGGACACCTGTGAATTATCAGAGTCCAATGTCCCGGAGTTCACCTATGATGAATAGAGTTAGTGAGGGTATGTTATTCTTATCCAGAGTAAGACAAGAAGTTTTAATAATTTAATTTTAAGCTTACGTTTAAACTGGTTTTTGTAATCCGTTATATTATTTTTTTTTAATTCTTCTCTCAGTTTGGAGGGTGGCTAGAAGGAATTTTAGAAGGCTGTAAGCTGTTACTTGACATAAGAAAATGAAAATCTGCTGTATTGTAACGTGGAGGTGGGAAGGCAATTCCATCTCAATTTGCATTTGATTATGGATCACATTGAAAGTGTTTTGAGGGCAGAAGCTATTCCTAAATTACAGAGGTATCTAGATGAGGAAGGTAATATGGTGAAGTGCAAGCAATCTTAGTTTTAGGATTTATATTTTTCACCAGAAAGAGTTTGTGATACTAAACATTCTCTGTGGCTTACTGTATCAGTTTGCAGAATCCTTTAGAACGTTACTTGGGAGCTGGTGTATACTTACAGCTGAATTTTCTATTGGAAAATATGCATTTCATTAATTTGGGTTTTTCATTGGTTTTAGCTGGAATATCTTCTGGGAAGTCAGCAAATCACGAAAGAAAAAACACACTTACTCCAACACAGAGGGAGAGTGTGCCAGCAAAATCTCCAGTCCCAGGGGTCGATCCCGTAGTGACTCACAGTCCTTTTGACCCTCATCACAGAGGAGCAACTCCTGAAGTCTATAGGAGTCACCTCCCTCCTCATTTAGATCCTGCTATGCCATTTCACAGGGCTCTGGATCCTGGTAAGTATGTCTGTGTTCTGTTTTTTAGTTTTAGAAATATTGTATGTTTTGATGCACAGAAAAGATACCTTTAAAAAGCAATTATAGATGGCCATTTATAAGAGGATATATACACACTCTGTTGCTGTTTGATTTCAGTTTAGAGGGGGGTTTAATGTCTAGCTATGAAACTTATTAAAATATTATTGTATAATACTGTAAGTCTCTTTTAGAAGCTGCCAGATTTGCTTCTGTTTTGTTAAAAAATTCAGACAGTATTTTAAAATAATATTTGTGAAATATACTATAGGCTTTCAGGAAAGCTATTTAAAGAAGGATGTGGAAGATGCTATAGAATAAAAGTGTAATCAGGACCCCTCTGTTAAGGACTGATTCATTCTTACTGAGGGATTATCAGTTTATCCCTGGTGATATTAAATACAGTAGACTTCCTTTTAACCTATCCATCAGTCCTCTTCTGTGAGGTGTTTTAACCTTCTTTACATTTGGAAAACTTCAGGATTTATATTTTTAATCAAGTCTCTTCTCTAATGCATATCTCCAATCTGGATTAGTTAGCTTTTTCTGTCTGTATCCAGTGCATAAATTCAATAAAATATCAGCATTAAAATGATGATTTAATTCACTTGTTACTGGCTAGAGAGAATTGATAGCACTTTATTGAAGCTATATAAACATCTGAAACATTCATTATTTCAATATGACCCATGCTGCTTCCTTAATCTTCCTTTTTCTGGTTTTTTTTCCCCTCCACCCTCAGCTGCTGCTGCTTACCTGTTCCAAAGGCAGCTCTCGCCCACCCCGGGTTACCCAAGTCAGTATCAGCTTTACGCGATGGAGAATACCCGACAGACAATCCTGAATGACTACATTACCTCACAGCAGATGCAAGTCAATTTACGTCCTGATGTAACGAGAGGATTATCTCCCAGAGAGCAAACGTTAGCTCTCCCGTATGCGGGAGCAAGAGGTACGTCTGTGTGTTTTCTGATGTTCTTTAAAGTGTGTTTTGGATGTGCAGTGTGGTTTGTTTGTTTCATTGCTATTTATAAATATTTGTGTTTATGGAGGGATACATGCATACAAGTGCATATGTTTAGGTGTGTTTGCAAATGAGTTGTTATACATCCAACTTGCTTCTTTGGATATAAAGGAAAACCATGTGTAATCAGTATCGTTAAAGGGAAGGCTCTAAGGCTTATTAATGTTCAAGAAACAATTAGTGGGAGTGCTAGAAATACAAATTCTGACTTAGTATGTTTCTAAATTGCTGATTTCCAGATCTAAAAGAGTATAACCAGCTGGAATATAGTTCTGCACTTGCCTTATTCTTATATTTGTTTCTGCTAAACATGTTCACTGCTGGCTGTTGTCAATGAAGAGAATATATAATGAGTCGACCATTGGTCTGTCCGTGAATGGCCATTCTTACATGTGTCATCTCTGAACAGGAATTATTGACCTGAACAACATGCCTCCCACTATCTTAGTGCCTCATCCCGGAGGAACAAGCACACCACCCATGGAGAGAATCACTTATATCCCTGGTACCCAGCTCACGTTCCCTCCCAGGCCTTACAATCCTGCTTCTCTGTCACCAGGTGAGAGCTCTTACAATTTGGTGATGTCTCTAGTTGTCTGACATGCTGAGTTAATTCACCATCTTTATTTAGCTTTCATTAATGTCACCTTTTGATATTTTCTCAGGTGATGCTTTTTGTATGCACTTCTCACTTGGATAGTAAAGGTTTTCTTAATGATATCCTTCGTTAATTACATTAGCAGCTGAAGGAGCACTGACACATTCAGAATTTGCCTCATTCTGTCAGGTCTTTATTTATAGTCGTTTGATTATGATTTTGCCAACCTCTTATTACATGTCTTGAAGTCTGGAATTTGGGTCTATAAGCTGTCTAGTTTCTAACTATAGAAACCACTTTAGTAAAAAGCTATTGAGCCTTCTACTGTCACTGTATGTTAAGCTTTTGTCTTCCTAGATAAGTGGATAGTCTTGAGTGGAATGAAAATGTATTTGAGAAATTTTGCTGCAAGTGGATGGCAGAATATATTGGCAAGTGTTTATGTCAAATTATGCTTAACTTGAGTATCTCTTTTTGCTGCTTCATTTTATCTTGTGGATCTTCCAGGACACCCTACACATCTGGCAGCTTCTGCAGCTGCAAATGCTGAAAGGGAGCGGGAAAGGGAGAGGGAGAAGGAACGGGAAAGGGAGAGGGAACGGGAGCGAGAGCGGGAACGAGAACGAGAACGAGAGAGGGAAAGAATAGCTTCAGTCCCTACTGAGCTTTATCTTCGACCAGGTGAGTGCACATGGCTACATTTGGATCAATTGTCTTGTAGACTGCAGCTGCTCATTTTCTATAGCCACTGTTGGTAACGTGCAGCTTATTAACAGCATATTACACAGTTTGGTTATTACCTGGCAGTTCTGGTCGTAATTGGAACTTCAGCAAGTACCAGGCTTCTTGATCTTTCTCTCATTGCAATGTAGTACCCAGGGAACAGTGTGAATTCCAATTATCACTAGCACAACTTGCATGTCATTTACATAATTGTAAACAGAATACTGCCAATTAAACCCTTAATACATACAGTCACATCTAAAGCAGCGGAGACAACTGAGAGAGGATGTGGAGGAGATGGCATTGATACATAGTTCTGCCTTGTTGTAAGAGTTATCTGTATATGTGTTTTATTTGTTCCCCTCTGCTCTGTGTTCTGCAGGTACAGAGCAGCCTGGCAGACCTGGCAGTCATGGATACGTTCGGTCCCCGTCTCCTTCAGTTCGAAGCCAGGAAAACATCCTGCAGCAAAGGCCTAGTATTTTTCAAGGAACCAATGGGACAAGTGTCATCACACCTTTGGACCCTGCTGCTCAGCTACGTATCATGTACGTTTCCTACGTTACTGTTGCAGAGATACCTGTTCTAATATTTGAGCTTATTAAAAGTTGCATTTAGTCTGAGGAAAATACTACAAGCTGAAGATAAATTCAAAAGGAATTGGATAGTGTTTATCAGGAATTCATTTTCACCCAGTCCAGTTTGGATAGAAATTAGTGTCACAAAAGCTTTACTTTGTTGTACACATGGTATAGCTGTAGTTCTTTTTTCTTGTGATATAATTCGGAATATTCCATGTTTGCCAACAGGCAGCTCACCCCTGGAGCTCCCTCTATTACTCAAGGGTTGCCAGCTTCCCGTTACAATACTGCTGCTGATGCCCTTGCAGCACTGGTGGATGCTGCAGCCTCTGCTCCTCAGATGGAAGTTGCCAAAGCAAAAGAGAACAAGCACGAAGGAACCAGGATAGAAGAGAATCTGGGACGCCGGTCAGCTGTGGTTACTGAACAGCAGCAGATGGAACAGAAGACACTGGAGGTAGAAAAGAGGCCTGTCCAGTGCCCCTATACATCTGCAAATTTTTCTGGTGGCAAGTCCCAGGGACAGTCTTCATCAGTAGTCTATTCAGAGGCTGGTAAAGAGAAAGGACCTCCTCCGAAATCCAGGTACGAGGAAGAGCTGAGAACTCGAGGAAAGACTACAATTACTGCTGCTAACTTCATAGATGTGATCATCACTCGACAGATTGCTTCAGACAAGGATGCACGAGATAGGGGCTCTCAAAGTTCAGATTCTTCCAGTAGTTGTACGTATCTTAGTAACTATCTACTTCTTTGCTGTCTGTCTTCGCCTTCTAGGGAGATAATAAGCTGTGAAATTATTCTGGTGTTTAATGATAAAAAATTCAGCTCTGCACAGTAGAGACGCCTCATAAGCAAATACAGTTTTTGTGTATAGTGACTAAAGATTCTTGCAAAATCAAAATTGTTTGCTTTGGGTTCTATGCTACAACGTGAAATGCGGGATATTAAAACTTGCATTATTAGAAGTTAGGAAACCTAAAATTCCTTTGTCTGCATTGGAATACTGCTTTATGGAAATCTTTGTTCCACCATGGTTGTCATGAGAAAAAGACAGTGATTTGCCTTTCATTTCACTGGTGTCATTTTAGTGGAAGCAGTACTGTTGCTATATATAGGCAACAAAAAAAATCTTCTGTGATATTTACACCTTATTCCACAACCTTTGCTTGATACTCAGTATCCTCCCACCGGTATGAAGCTCCTGGAGATGCCATTGAGGTGATCAGTCCTGCAAATTCACCTGTACCTACTCAAGAAAAACTACAGCCCTATCAACAAGAGACACCTAAACCAAGCCAGGCAGAGAGTAAGTTTATCTTCCTTATGTTTACCAGCTCCCTGAACTCATAATCAAGTTAAAATTTCTCAGGAGTTTAAGGAACTGCTTACAACACTTGTAACTTTTCAGAAACTTCTGTTGGAAGTATGTTGTTGTAGTGATCTGTAGGAAAATCTAAAGCAAATGTATGACTGAGACTTGGCTTTAAACAGAGCTCCTTTATGTTAGTGTAGCTGATTTAATAAGAAATATATTTTCAATATATTCTTTAAAATTATCAGTGTTGATGCTTACATTTTTTTACCTATTAGTAAAGCTCAAACTATTACAGTACGGTTTTCAGGTTAGAAAAGAACTGAAATTCACCTGCATTGTGGAATGAAGCTTTATTTATCTATTTTAAATTGTAGGGCCTGTATGTGAAGGGGGAAAAGGTGGTTATCACAGGGGATACCTAAAATCTAATGCAGAAACACCACATCTTTTAAATTTGTAAGCGCAGAACTTTCAAACCTTGAAGCTTCAGTGATGCCATTTTAACAGAGTGGCCTTTTCTTCTTCAACTAGACGACCCGAACAGGCAATATGAGGGGCCGATTCACCGCTACAGGACACAACAGGAACCCCCTTCACCCCAACAGCCTCCGCCTCCCTCTTCCCAAGCAGAAGGGATGGCACATGTGCCCAGGACCCATCGACTTATCACCCTTGCTGATCACATCTGTGTAGGTTTATTTGCATTCATCTTTCCAGATGTGAAAAGTCGTATTTTGATGATGAAAACACATGTTTTGGAACATGGCAATTCTGTTATTATTAGCTTTACTTGTGGATATTATACAATAATGCGTCTGAACTTAAAATAATCTCTTTTTTCATTGTTGTTGCAATCGGTCTCATATTTAAGTACTTCATGAATATGTATGCTCTGGCCAATGTCTGACCAAGATCTCTTTTCTAATTTTTTTTTTTGGCCACAATCAGCAAATTATTACACAAGACTTTGCTAGAAACCAAGCAGCTTCTCAGGCCTCTTTGCCACCTCCCACCACTACATTCCAGAATTCCACCCCTGCTCCAGCGCCTGTTTCTACCCGGGCAAAGACATCGAATCGCTACAGCCCCGAGTCACAGTCACAGTCTGTCCACCATCAGCGGCCCAGTGCTAGAGTGTCACCTGAAAATCTCTCTGACAAGTCCAGGGGAAGGTAATGCACATATTTAGTTTAACTGCAAATTTAATTGATGCCCAAATGTGATATTTATAAAAAAAATAGCGCAGTAATCTTGTTGTAGATGCAGAAGTAGGGGTGTCTTTTGGTCTTTTTTTAGGCAATGTCTTGTACTGTTTTTGACAATCGCTTGGCTCCGTAATGTAGCATATAACTTTTATCCCTTCACTTCTTATGCTTAATTTCCAGTCTTTAGAGGGATGAAGATGTTTAATTACACAGAACCTATCAGAGTCATTATGGACAATTCAAAGTCATCTTTTTGACATCGCCAAGCGTAGTAAAGCGTGTAATGTATATAACTAGACACCAGTAGTTCTGTAGCAACTGTAATTACACGTGCTAACTGCTGCATTACATGCATTAAGAGTAACTTCTCTCTCTCTGAATTATGGATGTAGACCTGGAAAATCTCCAGAGCGGAGTCATGTCTCTTCAGAGCCCTATGAGCCAATCTCACCACCTCAGGTCCCGGTTGTACATGAGAAACAGGAAAGTGTTCTTTTGCTTTCCCAAAGAACTGAGCCTACTGAACAGAGGTGTGTATAAATTGGAATTTTAACAACATTCTTCTGGATCTTTGTGCTGCAAACTATCTTTATTAAAGAGCAGTTTAAGTCATCCTCCTCTGGTACCTCAGGCAAATTGTTAATTGTTGATCCTTTTGCACTAGCATTCAAAACTTGCTGCTTGGGATGTGCTTTGGGAAGCCTGAGTGACACCTCATCTGTATGTGGTTCTGTCTTAAGTTTCTTGGTGCAAGCAGCATAAACTTCAGCCAGCGTGTGGGTTGCAGGGGAGAAATGGGCATCCCTGAGATGATTTTAGGAGCATCATCTCTGTACCACTCTCTAGCACAGACAATGACAAGGTCTCTTTTTCTGTGAGCCATAGAATCTTACACCCTGTTACCTGGATAAAGCAGATGTTCTTGGAGACTCACTAGATTTGTCTAGTCCCCAAAAAATAGGCTGAGGAAAGAGTTCTAAAGCTGGTATGAATGTTGCTGGTTTCTGCCTGACTGCTTTTGGAAAGATTTGCGTGTACAGCTTGAAAAATGTTCTCTCTCTTTGACATGTTGGTCTTGGCAGGACTGACTCTCGCTCGCCAGGTAGTATAAGCTACCTGCCTTCGTTTTTCACCAAACTTGAGAACACTTCACCAATGGTAAAATCCAAGAAGCAGGAGATATTTCGAAAGCTGAACTCGTCTGGTGGAGGTGACTCTGACATGGGTATGCAGGACTTGCCTTCTCATTGAATTTTGCCAGCTTAAGCTTTATGTGACTGCCATCCACAGATGTCCTAACCTAAACATGTTTCAAATAACATGTGAATGAATATAAATCTATGAATATAAAACACATATATAATACTTTATGACCAAAGAACTGAAAGATGGTTAGATTTTTTTTAAATTATTTTTAATGCTGATGTATGTAGGACTGTCACATTTAAGCTTTTTAACGTTTAATTTGAGAGATGGAAAAGGTTTCTGTAAACTACAGAAAAACCACATAATTAATGAGTTGTTGAAACCTGACATTCTACTTAACTTTGTGTCTGTAGTTTGCTTCATATCAACATTAACTATTATAAATTTTCCTTTTTGGAAGGATATTTGGCAAACTGTATGTTTTCTGTTTTCTTGGCCTTTATGATTATGGCTGTTAAAAAAGAAATATTTTCATTTAGTTTCAGTAATGGATACTGGCGTGGTGGAATACGATACTAGACATATTTTCGGTTTACTCCTAGAAACCTTAACAGAACTTGTATCAAAATTATCAGTAGTAAGAGTTTAAGCTGTTAAATTCAATACCAAATAGAAAGTGTTTATTTGAAAATGAATGGTCTTGCATTGAGCAGCAAATTGATCTCACTCAGAGAAACAAGGCTGTGTCAGTCAGGGTTGAAGTATTCTTTTTTATTTAATCTCCATTGCGCACACGGTAGATTTTGCTCTGAAAATGTGTGTGTGTGCTTGCCATACAAACACATTTCCCATTGCTGCCAGTAATCTTTTCATTTATATATTGAATTCAGTGTTACAGTTGAAAAATCTTTATTCTCAAATTGGACATAATATAGATAGTACGTGCATGGGGACTGTTTAGCCACTTCAAAGTTATTGTCATTAATTTTTTTAATATATACAAATACTCAGCCTTTTAAGGTTTATATGTTAAAATACCTAGTTAGCAAATCAAATGCAGCTTTGCATTTCAAAGTACATAGATTGTGAAACTTCCAAAAGTCAGTCTGCTTCCTGAAGTAACATCTCTAAAAGAAAGCTATGTATGAGACACTTTTACTCTGTGTAGATCATTTTCCTGAGAAGACGTAGATGCACGTTCATCTTAGAAGACTGAGAAAGAAAAAGCAGAACATTGAAAATAGTTCAAAGTAATTATACCTTGTGCATTAGGAGTAGTGGTGATGACTTGTAGCAATCATCAGTACTAGAAAACTCAATTAAATGTTGTGCTTTAATTGCAGCAACTGCTCAGCCAGGGACTGAAATATTCAATTTGCCAGCAGTCACTACCTCAGGTAAGGTTTTCCGTAAAACAAACAACGTATGTTTCAGAAACAGTAAACTAATGCAATATCTTCAATTTATATGCTTTGGGGAGTCCAGTAAATGAGGATGATGATAAAAATTTCAACAGTAACATCCTACATGAAAATGTGTTTCCAGTATCTTTGGAAAAAGCAAAATGACCAAAGGAAGTTTCAAAAAATATTTTAAATGGGAACTTAGGCAATAATGTTTTATTTGTGTGCTCTGCAAATCCTACACAGAGGCAGGAGTAATGAAATTGGTTAGCATCTCACTTAAATTAACTTAAATACAGTATAGTTCAACAAAACGTGAGCTTATTTGTTCATCAAATGTAATTTACTTTATAAGCCATTGTATTTAAAATACTGATAATTTTTTCTATGATAAATTAATAACCCCCCTAACTTTTTATGAGGTGGGGAAATTAGATATAACCCACAATTTTACTGTGTTAAAGAGGTGAGTGAGGTGGAGAATTGAACTGAAATGTGGGACATAAGATCTGCCAAGTCTGAATGTTGAGTTGTGCTACAGATTGGCTTTACATGGTGATTTTGGCCAGTTGCTGACCCTTCTGGTCACTGCTTCTGTCTTTTATATGGAGGAAGTACTGATCTTCATTAATTTAGATGGAAGACAAGCTTTTGGAATAAATATTTGCCATGTATCACACTTCATAAGGCAAAGCAGAAGTAGTATTTTTTTGGTCTCTTCTCTTACAGCTGAATAATAGCAGCAGATTTTACTTAATAAGCTATCACAATCAGCATGCTCAGCTGCCTTTGCTATTAAAAAAAAAATAAGTAAAACTTACCTTCTTGCAAACAGTCTGACATTTAGTGGCACTAATGCTGTAACTCTAGTTTTTGCTGGTGGGTCTAACATGGCCATTGTCAGCTGCTTTGGAGCATGTAGCTTTGCATTTTAAAAAAAATCTCATCTTTGTTTTTTCTTTTTCCCCCACCTTTCTGCCTCTTCCTATAATCTTTCCCCATATCCCTTTGTAATTTCTCTGAGATATATTTTTTGCCTTCCCTCCCACCTTTCCCTGTGTGTTTTCTTTTATCTCCCAGGTGCAGTCAGTTCTAGGGGTCATTCCTTTGCAGATCCTGCCAGTAATCTGGGTCTGGAAGACATTATTAGGAAAGCTTTGATGGGAAACTTTGATGACAAGAGTGAGGAACATGGAGTTGTAATGTCACAGTCCATTGCAGTAGCACCTGGTAGTTCCAGTGCTGCAGTATCAGCAAGTAACGAGACGCGTAGGGAAGAAGCCAACCCATCACCAAATTCAGGTGAGGTATTGCAGCTCCTAAATATTTCATGGTCTTAAAGAAAAAAAAAAACAAATTAAAGGATTGAATAAATTTGGTGTCATTGAAAATCACTGTCTTTCCTCCAGAAGTCATAGATGGTGTTTCCATTCCTTCTAGTAGTCCCGGCTTTCAAAATGGTGCTGGTGACTTCAGGAGCATTATCCTATTTCTTGGGCAATGACAACACTGATGAAATGGGGAAGAGATAACAGGGTGCACTGGACACCTGAGGCTTCTCAGTGGTTTGAAAATGCACGTGTAGTAGATCACCTGTAAAGAACGCGTGACAGTGGGAACTGGCTTGAACTGAAAACAACTCCCTGCCTAAAAATGGAAATACAACTCTGTTCTGATGAGAGCAGGGATTTTCCAGCAGCAGTGTGTTAGAGACTGGCCTGTGCAGTCACTATTTGCAGTAACTCAGTGTGCCAGGAGGCACCAGTGTGAAACTCCTCTTTGCTCTTAGATGATAATTCACAGGATCATAGGCTAAAGCACAGTGTAACCTTTTTGTAAAGTCTGTCTCTGCTGTTTCCAGGAGGGGGAGTCAGCAAGCAGAAGATCATTGGCAAGTCAAATAACAGGAAGTCTAAGTCTCCAATTCCTGGACAGGGATATTTGGGAACCGAAAGACCTTCTTCTGTCTCATCTGTACATTCAGAAGGGGACTATCACAGACAGACTCCAGTGTGGGCCTGGGAAGACAGGCCTTCATCAACAGGTGAGAAACGGGTCACTTTCAAACTTAACAAACTACATGTGCTATTTGTAGAAAGGTCAGGTGTAGACATACAGGGATCTTGGTCAAAAAATTGCAGCATATAAGGATTTTCTGTGACAGAATTCCTGCTGATTATCACAACTAAAAGCCAGACTATCTTTCAGATAGAGATCTCCCAGAACAGCTCATGGTTTTGACTTGGAGAAAAACTCTCTTTGATCCAGGTTCAACACAGTTTCCTTACAACCCGCTGACGATGAGGATGCTGAGCAGTACACCGCCAACATCCATCGCGTGTGCCCCACCGTCCATGAGCCAAGCAACCACTCACCAACAGAACAGGATATGGGAGCGAGAGCCTGCACCACTGCTTTCAGCACAATACGAGACTCTGTCTGACAGTGATGACTGAACTATGCAGACTTTTCTTTTCTTTTCTTTTTTTTTTTTTTTTTTTTTTTTTTTTGCGTTTAAGTTCACCCAAACTAACACAAATACTGACCTGCATATTTGTCTTAAAAATGCTGATTTTATTCAGTATTTTTTTTTTTTTTTTTTTTTTTTTTTTTTTTTTTTTTTAATTTGCGGGTCAAAAAAAGAAATCTATTTTTGACTTGTGCCCACAGAGACTTTCCAAGAGAGCAAGGGCCACACAATGAAGAATTGATGGAGAGTCCGTTAAATGCCTTCTGCACAGGCTGTGTGTTGGAGGATTGTGATCGAGAAGGTTGACTCACTAAAGATAAATATGTAAAGAGTTTTTAAAAATGTGGACTATTCCTGTTCTACATCTATTTGTAAAGAAAACCATAACGTCTTTAAATCATTCTTCTGTAAATAGAGAGTACTTTTTGCAGTGTTTTTTCCCTTGCTATAGTATCTGGTGTACTTATGTTCAAATCATTGCCTAAACTTTGGGGGTCATTTTGTAATTTTTTTTAAGCATTTTCTCCAGTGTAGAGTACTCTTCATAACCCTAGCCTCCCTACCAGCCTCGCCTAACCATAACCCCAGCCTCCCAACCAGCCTAGCGTCATTGCCCATTAAATGCCGTGCCACTTCTTGCAGGCATTGTGCTTTTATATCATTTTTTTTTTTCCCCTAGACACACTTTCTCAGTGGTGTTCAAGCTCTTGTGAAAATGTTGATTTTTAAGACTGACCCCTTAATAATTCTGTACATTAACATAGTCCGGTTCGCTGGAATAAGATGATATATTTCTTTTGAATTTTAAATTCTGCCACATTGTAAATTTTTGGTGCAGTTGGTTTTATTTAGCAACACTGCAGAAATTATTATTGCATGGGTATGTTATGGTTCATTTTTAAAAGGAGAAAAATACAAAAAGAACAGCTTCTGGAGGCATACCTCACTGTTATGCACACTGGGAATTTTAACTGTGCCCCAAAAGCCTATCTTAGTGCTCTCTGTTTCTGCATTGTATGCAGTCAGAACAGGCTACTAAATTTTACTGTCATATTTAACCACGGCAAATGGCTTATCTGAAGAGAGGCTCTGGGCGGGTTGATAAATCCTTTAAGAAGAAAAACCTCTACATCCCACGTCCAAATAAAACAAAACGGCTTTTATAGAATAATTGAGCAACACACAAGTCAACTACTTGGCTACTGTTAGAACCAGTTTCAAATAGGTACTTTTTACCTTCCTCCAGTCTGGTTTTAAAATCTTTATGTAATAATTATTTTAAAGTCTGCATCCCCATCCCAGTCCCTAGCCACGTAAGCAAGCTTTTGGTGGAAGTCCTGACAAATGCTTGGCTTAACTCCTAAAGTGTGCAATACTTGTTAGGGTGATTTTTATTTTTATTTTTGAATTGTATATGGTACTAGGAGACTCTCCTTAATCATTCATCTATCAATGCCTGCTATGATAATGGTTGTAGCTCATGTATACATACATCTGGTTAGTGGTATCACAGGGTGTTCTGACATCCATCTTCAAAAGCATCTTATTTTTTTTTTGCTGCACTGACCTCAGGAAGTGAATTTAAATCTTCCGGGGTAGAAGGACTGATTTACAGATAGCACTGATTTGGGGGGGGGTGGCGGCGTGGTCTGTCAGATTCCAAACTGCTTTTGCATCTCATTGATGAACAGAGTCTTTGCCTTGAAGTTATTTTCCAGTCAAGATATTTTTAATTTACACTGTATGTGCGATGCGTTGTCTGGAAGGTATGATGCAGCTGTGTAACCTCACGCCGTGTAAGCTCCATCTTACGGAGGGACGGTCATGGTCCAGTTACAAACAGGAAGAAGCCCAAATAGCAAATTGACCAATACCAATTATCAACAATAGCAAATTTACTTTGAGTACTTTAGAGGAAAGCCTTTTTGCCCTAAGTGTGGGAAAGCAAGAAAAAAAAAAAAAAATCCAAAGGAACTCATTTGGAAACTTGACACTGTGTTGCAAATACGTAATTATTTTGCTACTTTTTTTTTAAACCCTGCATCAGCGTAGATGAGTTGGCAGGCTTAAATCTCCTTGCAGCCTTTCTCTAAGAAAGATTTTTCTCACCCTCCCATCCTTTACCCTTCTGGCTTGAAGTAGTGACGTTTTCATCCTGTTTGTAGACCTGTGCTCTTCTTTTAACTTTTTTGTTCCCACAGCAACATATACTGGAAACCAAGTTGCTCTGCCCTTTTTGTAGATTTGAATTTGGAGTGGAGAGTGAAGTTCCATTCTGAAACTCACTTGTTCTCACTTTTTAGTGTAACAAATACAACGTGAAAGAGGCATGTACAGACAAATGTCTTTGCTAACTGTACAGTAAGTATAGCATGTTCATTGCAAAGCTTCATGTTATTGCTGCTGCAGCAGCAAGATATCCAAGGTAGGATAGTCACTTTCTCCTAAGATACAGCTTGAGTGGCATTTGCACATAAAATGTTGCTGCTTTTTTTGTTTGTTATCCGAGTTTTAACTTCTCCAGTGTAAAAACCTCTCCAGAGCCTAAGTTAGGGTTTACCACAATTCCAGTAATCTTCAAGTATGGAATTACATCTGACCTGTTTCAAACAGGGAGGTGTTTGTAAATCATGTTTACAAAGTGTAGTTTACTACAGATTTTTAACTGATTTCTGATCAGCGCTTTCACAATGCTTTCATCTTGATATGTTTCGTGATTCTGATATGAAATCATTTAAGACTTGAAAAACCCATGCATCATAAAACTCTTTTTTTTTTTTTTCCACACAATGTCTTCAGTAGACAGTGACTTCTGGATTCAGACCAATCAATAAAGGGGATCAGTTCTCCATTTGCTTTTCCTGTGTCTCCCTCTTGTTTCGCAGCATCAAGCTATGTTCCTGAGAACAGGCAAAACGCTTCCCTTAGGGGGGTGCTGCAGGGTTCCCCGTTAGCGCTGCTGGAGTGTCTCAGGTTGGCCACTTAAAAACCAAACTTAAAAACCCAAACCCAGAACTTTAATTGGCTATAATGTATTAGAGCCTTTTCATTAGTACAAGTGTGCCTGTAACATCCGTATTTCCACTTCCTCACCTGTGGAGAACAAAGCTCTGTGTGTGACTTCAGTTTTTTCCAGCTTCAATGAACAGCTGCTCTAGAAAACCCATGTGTCTCTTCTTAGCTCAAAATTAAGGAGAGCTGAAGCCACTAATGGTACTGTAAGTAAACTAATAATGATGCAATTAACCGTAATGCTTTGTACCAACTCTTACAAAAGAGAGGTTAAAATAATGCTTGGTATCGATGGAATTGCAGTTAGTTCTACCGTCCTGGCTAAACAGGGATTCGATAACTTCTGCTTTAATTCTGCTTTGTCTTTAGCATTAGGCTTCCCTGCAGGGCAGAACTGAAAAATTGTGTTGCATAAACAGGCTGGTCGTAGTGGATTCACATGAAGGGATGCAGTTTACAAACCTGATAGTTTGTACATACCATCTTTTTCCAACAGGAAGCCCCAGCATTCTAGCACTGCCCTATCCAAGGAAGGAGGACAGCTTTGGCACTTCCCGTGCTCCTGACTGGGGTAAGGTAGCTGAGCGTTTTATTTCTGGTAACAGTCTCACCCCTCATCTGAGAGGGCACGTTCTATCTTTGGCTGCTGAATGCTTTGAAGAAAAACATTTGCTCTTCAGGCAACCTGTTTGAAAAGGACACGGAGCCACAGCTCTGTCATAGTATGGGTATAGTCTGGGACATGCTGTGTTGGAGTTAACAGTGTAGGGCTGACACCCCTACACCCTGTTGTGCTACCCAGCATGTAAAGAGTGAGACAGGTCCTGCCGCTTCTCTTTTCCATGACTTAGCTTTACTACAGCCATGTTTTGAAAGTGAACACTTCTGTGAACAGTCAGGAGTAGCAAATGACTACACCTTGACTGAACTGCAAGTATTAATCCCAGGCTAGACTTGCTCTTTGCTGGCAGTCAAGACAAGGTTAAATCACTAGCACAGCAGGACTCTCCAACCATAGACTACACCATGATTTACACAGTTAAGATTTCACAACTTTATTTTGGGCTAAGTTGTTCAGCAATAGCAGCCCTTCTCATTAAGCAGTCCTTAAAATCCTCATTGCTGTTCTCCTGGAGAATTGCACCAGACTGGTTTCAGGCTGTTGTCCTGACCAATCCTTGCTGCTATCGGCCACCTCAAGGTTGGACTTCATGGCCAAACTTATTTGGAACCCTTTCTCCTCTTGGCCAGCTCAGCTAGTTCTTCCTGGATATGCTGGACAGAAGCAACATCTCCCTTCTCTCGTGCCTGCTTGAGAGCTTCTTTGTATACTTGTTTTGCTTGCAGAAAGTCTTCTGTAGCAAGAGGAAAAAGTGGCATGGCTATCTGCATCTCCCCTGTTCAGAGTTCCCTCCTGAAGCAGACCACATGCAAAGGACAACCACGGACTACTTGGAACACACCAGGACCTAGGGAGCTTCAGAGAACATCCACCATAGGGTGCCAACTATAAGAACAGCAATGATGATGGGACAAGGTGCATCAAGATCTCATAGAAACAAATCTCAACCGTATCTTCTGTTCCTTTGGAACCAGCTACAGGACAAGGGAAACAAGATCCCCTGGCAACCTTTTGAGTCAGATACACCAGAACTGCATTTATCTTGGACAGGATCCTTCAGCAGCTGAATTCAATTTCAGAACCCCTCAGGTTGCCTACACGAAGTTGGCAGACCCACTGCTTAAACTGAAAATAGGAACGCAAACATAATGCTGTAGTTCAGCCCTACAATACAGGCAATTTGCAGAGGGCACGAGCGCAGTGACACAGCCTGGACGTTTATTTACCCACCTTTGTGCATCAGGATGGCTGCCAGGTTATTCAGCACCATGTGCTCCTCGGGGTGCTGAGTCTCCTTCGCCAGCTCCGCTGCCCTCTTCACATGGGAGTACGCCTCGTCGTAGCGCCCCTGCGCATCCAGTACAGTTGCCAAGTCATTCATAAGCACCACAGTCTGCACCAGGACAGAAGAGGAAGTCTCAGAGCAAGACTTGTGTAGAAGTTTGGAGCAGCAGAAGCACCACGTTCATACCCCCGTCTCACTAGTAAAAGTAGTATTTCCCAGAGAAGCTCTTAGTAAGAGTCTTATATTTCTATATCAGCATGCTGCATGCTCATTCTTCCTGCCAGGAAAACAACTTAATTTATTGCTGTGTATGTTTGATGCCAGCAAAGCTGCTTCATTCCCTGGGAGATCAGCCTTTCTTTCCCTAGTAGTCAACTGCTATTGTACACGTCACCTGTGGATGAGTCTCTCCCTGAACATCATTTGATATCTGCAGAGCCTTCTCGTACATTTTTTGGGCCACTGGGAGCTGGTTAATGTCCAGGAGATAGCGAGCATAGGAGTCTAGGCTCATCCCAAGCAAGAGACGGGTGTTGGCCTTTTCTTCAGCTGCTAACAGAGAGGAGTAGAAGTGATCACTTCTCCAAAATCAAGCGTGAGTTTCCATCTTACAGGAGCAGGAAACCCATGCAGTGTGGAGACAATGGATTGACCTGAAGATGGTGCTTGGGCAATATGGAAAGTAACATCGAGGGCAGGGAAATGAGGAAGACATAATGAGAGAAGTCTTTGGCAGACAAGGCAGTCTCACCTGATAAGACATCCTCAGGCAAGTCCTTTTGCTTGGCAATCTTCTCCTCTAAGGTCAGGATGCAGAACTCGTAGCCAGCCAGGGCTAATTTGTGCCTGCAAAGTAAAGCAACTCAGCAAAGCAAGGCTCCTTCATCCCTGAAGGGATGGATGTGAACATCTTCAATCCCTGTTTCTACAGGGCCTGTAAGACAACTTTTCCCCTTGAGCAGAAGGTTCTTGACCTCAGTGCTGTCTTGATCATGGCCTAGACCCTTCTTTTGACCCATGGACAAAGGGATCCAAGAGGTGGAGAGGGCTCCCCTCACCCCAGATAAGGCCAGCTAAGGCAACCCATGCTGATGCTCCACTGAAAAATGAAGCTTCAAGTTACCAGTCACCAGCTGCACTCAAAAGGCTTCTCTCCTGTGAGGTGTGGATTTAAGACTAAACAGCAATGTCCTCTATGGCTGCTTCTACCCTAAGCTGGACAATCACTGTGCAGGCAAATATCACGCCATTTGGAACCTTTACTTTGATGGTATCTTGGCACATGAAAGCTTCTTTGGGCACTCTAAGAATAGAGGAAAGAGCCTCTTTCTTCACTGCCACCGCGAAGCAAGATTAAAGCAAAAGATGCCTTTAGCAGGGAACTCACTGTTTCTGAGCAGCATAGATACTGGCCAGTTTGAGGGACATCTCAAGGATTGCATTGTCATCCTGCCAGGAAGACACACAATGCAGCTGTTATTCTTCTTGCATCTTCCCAGCAGAAACATTTCTTTGCCAAAGAACAAGTTTAGACCTTGAAAATGCCCATCCCCTTAAAGGAAGAAGTTCTTGAGAAGCCAGCAAGCTCAGAGCTGGTATTGCCAGTTTCCAGTAGGAGGTATTACAACGCAAGAAATAAACCAAAGACTTCTCAATGCTTCCCCCTGAAAGACTTGATCAGAAGAACATACCTCCTTTGTGTCCCCTGCAAGCAAATAGCTCATACTTGCTTTATACAGCTTCTCTGCCTGAAATGAGAATTTTGAAGAGAACACTGAGGAACAATGGTAGTTCAAACAAAAGATCTGTACCTTTTTTGGAGGCAGACTGGGAGAAACCCATGTCACAATTTGTGGTGTTTACGTTGTACGTCAAGACCAGTCAGCAGTGAAAGGCTAACTGGAGCCCACTGGTACTGCCAACTAGTGCGTCCTTTCAGTTTCTACAGCCATGAGTTTACCACATCTGTGTGCTATCAGGGCTTTCCCTGGCTCCCCTTGGGACCGTATCTAAATGCTCGATTGTGGCATTTGACAGTCTGAACCATTCCTTCCCTTGCACCATGTTGGAGCTCAGAAATTAACTGTGAAAGCACCTTTCTTAGCAGCACGTGCTCCACAGGACTGCAGTCCCACAGCAAGTTGTTCTGCTTTTTAGGGGGAGATCTCTGCCTTCCAACCCTCTTGCACGAGATGCAACCTCATAAAATTCAGAGGAGGAAAAAAACCCACCATTGTTACTCACATTTTCCAGCTGTCCCTGCATGAAGGCCACATTTGCCATCTGGAAGAGACAGACCAGCACTGAAGCTCCATGTAACTCCTGTTCCAGCTGCCTACAGCCCCAGCACAGGGCACTGCACCCTCCCAGGGGAACTGCAGCCCCACGGCACGGACCAGACCCACACGGGACACCCCAGAGCAGGAGTTTACCAGTGTACACCCCCCCTCTACCTGCATACACCCGCTCTACCTGCGCACACCTACCATGCTGTAGGTGTAGATGATGGCTTTCCTGTTATCCGACTGGTGCGACAGCCGCAGGGCCTGGTGCAGAACCCTCTCGGCCTCCCCCAGCTCTCCCTTCATGACGCTGAGCTGCGGGGAGGAAGGGAAGGCCCAGGGGGCAGCTCAGCCGCCGCCGGGCCCCGCGCTGAGGTACCGCCATGGCCGCGGCCTCCCCACAGAAGACACCGCCCTCACCTTGGCTCTCTTCAGCAGCTGGATAATGGCGTCCTCGCCGTCCTCCTCGGCGTCCTTGGGGAAAAGGGAGAGGGCTACGGGGCGAGGGTGACCGCCGCCCGCGCCGCCATGCCCCGGCCCGCACCCCCCGCTCCCTCCTCACCTCCAAGGGAGCCCAGGGTACCCCCGACCGGCCGGGCCCATCGCCGCCGCCCGGAGCTCGTCCTGCCGCCGCCCTCCTTCTGTCCCCTGCCGTGCCAGGCGGTGCGGAGCGGCGGGAGCCCCGCGGGGCAGCAACGGGCGGCCAAACGGCACAGGACCCGCGGCAGCCCCGCCGCCAGCATCCTCCCCCGCGGGCCCTTTAAGAGCTCGCCCTCGCCACGTGATGCGGGCCCGTGCGTCACCCGGGGCAAAGGGCGCCCGTTGCTATGGAGACGCGCCCTCACGGCTGCGCGGCCGCAGGTAGGCCCGGCCCCGGGGTCGCCATCCCAGGACCGGCGGCTCTAAATAGCTGCGGCGCGGCTCCGCCGTGCCGAGGAGAGTCCCCCGGGACCGCGGTGGGGAGCAGCCGACGCTCCATTCCCTCAGGGATCCCCCAGCGCGGGTCGCGGGCCCCGGGTCCGCCAGGCCGCCCTGCCGCTGGGAGGCTCCGCCATTATCCAGCGGCGGGACGCTGCAGGCCGGAGCCTCCTCCTGTTGCTGGCGGTATCGCCCCCTTCGCCTTTCTACTGGGTCTGTTTATACCTGGGGATATCTGAGAGACGCTCCTCTATTACCAAGAAACACTTTGTTGTGAGAAAGTGTGAAAAACACTTCAAAAACAGTTCAATAGGTGTTGAGGATGCCGTTTGCTTGGCCTCCTTGCAGGGTTTAGATAGAGTACTGCCCAGATAAACTCTCTGGGATAATAGTATCTGCAGTGACTCTAATGATTTCCCACTGTTTCCTCTTCTGTCTTGGTTCCAGTCACGAGCCCAGTGCCAATGGGATGGACAGTACCTTGCCAGCAGTAGCAGAAGAGCTTTTGAAAGAGATCAAAAAGGCTTATCAGGAGACCTCACAGGGTATGTAAATTAAAACAGACCCATTCCAGAAGGCGGTGGGCCAGTAATAGAGGCTCTGTCAAACCTTCTGGTAGCAATGAAGGCTGACAGCCTCGCCTTGCTTGCATCTTCTGCAGGCTCTGTCAGATAAGGGGTGGCTTTTACTTTCAGGAGTGGTAGAGTAAGATGTTGAGGCCACATGCCTTTTCTTGAATGCTTTTACATTTAGGGTATTATAAAAGTAAGTATATTTGGGCTTCTGCATTTCTTCTTAAAATGAATCCCTGTTTCTGAATGTATATTTAATTGCTGTACTTGGTACAACCTGTCTGAATACAAGGGGGTTTGAAGCACAGGTAACGAGGAGTGGCCCCCTTCTAAAAGTCAGGCCCTTCCAATAATTGGGTCAGGTTGTACACTTTTTTAACATTGGACCTAAGGCAATGCTGCTTGCGTAGAGCTTGTAGTGTGAGTGGTTGCACTTCAGGGATGATCATATGTATACTTTTAGGTAGGCATTTTGTTGTGTCTACTGTACTGCTGTTTTTGTAGACTCACTAATTTCAAAACTAGAATTGAAAGGGACATACTTCATAAAAACAATCGTGTTTCATGACTGACCAGCAGAGGGTGGGGTGTTACTGATCCCAGGGCAAAGAACAGCTTTCCCGTTCCCTGAATGAAGCAGGCATATGCCAACAGGTAAGTCTTGGCCAATTCTAGCAGCTAGTTTAGAGCAACCACTTTCATTGCACTCTGGGTTACTAATGTAGTTCTGTAATCTGTGCTGAAAGAATATTACTGTTTGTGTTTACTTGATAAGAAGCACAGAATGGTTCTTCCTAAGGAAAGTGTCTATTTAAGGAATATTTTGACTGCAATAAACCCAGCCAAATAAACATTCAGAGAAGTCTGTTTGAGCACTGCATTTGAGTGGGGATTGGGCAGAGACTTAATGTCTGAACTGTCAGAGTGACCACATTAACAGCTTTTAGGCATAGTTGCAGTATGGCTCCCGTCAGGTTAGAGTATATCCAAAATCTACATGTGACTCTTTAAAAGCTTTAAAAAAACCTTTATAAATCTTGTTGTAGTCTATACTTCTTTTTAAAGCACCACAATAGTACTAAGCCATACACTGTGACATAACTATATAAACAAACTGATTGATCATTTTGGGTAATTAAATTAGAGTAAGGTTGGAAAAGTCAAATCAACAGCATAAGTCATAGAAAATATTTTGAATTGTTGGAACAAAGGATTTTAAAGTCAGAAGTCCTTCCAGTGGAATACAGAGACGTAGTACACTGTGTCCCATTAGTGATAACAGAAAGATCAGATTGGACGATCAGAGCGTAAGCTGTTAGCTACAATAAACAGACTAATTTTCTTAAGAGTAATTTTCCATCTTTAACAAGAAATTCTAATAAGTGAAGACATTATGTTTCTGTGTGCTGTATTAAAAGCTATAAACTAGTGGCGCCCTGCAAGACTATGCTGGGAAAAGAATAACATTTTTAAAGTTTTGATGCCAGAGTTCTCAACTCATGCCAAGAGTGTTTCAGGGAAACCAATATATATATTTTTAACCAACTTCTTAAAGTGGCAGAGTGAGAGGTTGAGATTGCGTCCCTTTTCTTGCATGCTTTTAAAAGTAGGATATCATAAAAGTTAAGTATATTTGGGCTTCCACATTTCCTTTTAAAATTAATCCCTGTGGTTCTGAATGTATATGTGATTGCTGTACTTGATAAGTGCCTTAGCACTACCATACCATTTTGCTGCTCCTTCTTGCTTTTTGGTGGCTGGAGAGGATGGCTATAGCACTGCAGTCCTGTGTGGCCTTGGGGGGGATGTTAGGGAGACAGTAGCTTCCCTGTGATGTTGACGTCTCTCACAGTGGAGAAGTTCAGCAAAATCATGCTTCTTTTTCTTTTTGTTGCAGTCCCTGATGACCTGTTGCTGGGGTAAGTATCTTTTACTTCAGTTCTTGTCCCAAGTGTCCTGCTAAAGGACAGCTGATAATCTGCTCTCATTATAGTACTGCTATTTTTTTTCCTGTATTTGACCAGTGCACGTTTCTCATGCAGAGTTGCTACATGTTTTTGCTGGTAGTGGAAATGAAGGTCCAAAGAGAGACAATCTCAAGAGTTTTTCCAAATCTCTGTATCACTGAATCTCCTGTGATGACTTGCTTTAATTTGGGTGGATTAAACATGCAAAAACCCAGAATGTTTAACCTGAGCTCTGAGTCCACTCTCAGATCTGGAGTGAGTTTCCTGTGAGAGTGGACTGTGATTCATGCCACTGGAGCGTGAATCCAGTGTTCATATCGTTGTGAGCACAGCAGCATCCTGAGGTTTCTTCTGTTTGACTCATGGGCATGTGTGATAGAAAGGGAGAAGTGAACATATCATCTCTCCACACAAGGGAATTGTTAATTGAAGATTACCCTGAGAGTTTTCTCCTGTTTAGAAGTCGTCTCAGGTCAGCTTCATCGTCCCTGCATTGATTGAAACTTGTGAATATTTCAGCCATTCCCAAGCAGTCTCCCAAGTTCAATAAGAAAAATTTCCAAGTTCCACAACTTCTGCAGCCCTCACTAACTGGTGTTGAAGGTAGAAAGACAGCACCACAGTGAGAAATGCTTTTCAGATTAATCTTTAGCTTTGTGTTCCTGCCTGCCTGTAACTTAGCCAGGAGAGGAGATCACCAGGAACCCGTCAGGCCTTAATATCTTTGGGTTTAAAGTTATCCAACCTAACACTTGTGAAAGGTATGGATGCTGGCTCCCTCTTCTGGGACCACAGTGGCCTTTGAAGGGTGGGATTATGTTTGACAAGTCTCATAACTTTTTGTTTCCCTCTTGTCATAAAATAAAAGAAGAGGAAAGAAAATCCCTTGTTAAGTTTAATAACAGTTGGGTGGTAGCTCTTGGCAGTCAGATTTCCACCAATTCCCTGTGACCAGCAGCTCAGAAGTGTTCTGATTTAATTTCTGAATCTCTTCCAAATCTCTGAAGTCCTTCAATTTCCTTTGGGCATTCCCCTTACTTATTTCCTGTTAGACTGATCAAACTATATATATGAAAAAAGAATTCCCCAAATTTGAAAGAGTTACTGAAACTCATTAAAGTCAGCCCCCTTGCAGTCCCAAACCTAATCATTAAGGAATGTCTTACGTTGAGTGTTCCCCCACCCACCTCCTCTCAGTCCTCAGATGAAGCCAATCCTTATTGCCTTGAGTTTGTGCAACTGAAGTTTAGGTCTTCCTGGAATAAGTCTGTCTGCTTGGCTTGTTATCAATGAGATTGACTCAGAGGCATAGGTCAGCCATGCTGCTGCGACGCCAGGGCTCTGCCTTGGCTCTTTGTGTCTCCACTGGACTTGGAAATGTTCCTCTGCTTTCTCTTCTTCTCCCACTCATGTTTTGTACTATCTTTTCATCACTGCTGATTTTCTTCTTGTTTATCTTTGTAACTAACGTAGACTACACAGATCTTTCTCAGAGGGTAAAAGGTCTGTAAAGTTAACTGAGCTGCCCTCAGCTCTTTGGAACGCATTCAGAGCAGCTGGGTATACAGGTCTAGAAGAACTTTTAAGCCTATGAGCTGCCTGGACAATAGGCTAAAGGTATAGATGTCCATATTTGACATACATCTTATGATCTACCCTTGCACGGCATCAATAGGAGATAAAATTCTCCTTGCAGGGTTGTGCAGACAGTGACTAGGTAGATAGAAATTACTGTGCCTTCAGGACTCATAGCTCTTTATTTTTCCACTTCTGATCCATAAATGCTGTGCAGTGGTGCGTCCCTGCGTGGGCATGGGTCCTGCTCGGGAGGAAAGGAAAGGGAAAGGGTTTTTAGGGAGGGTGGAGTGACAAAAGGCATCTGCTGTCCCTAGGTGTTTATCTGGAATAAACTTGTTGTGTGTGAGCCTACTGCTGTCTGGTGGTTCCACGTGGAGTGGAGTGTCTTAAGTATTTCCCTGCTGGTCTTCAGCTTCCTATTGATGCAGTTTGGTGGGTAGATAAAGAATAATTTATACCTCAGTTGTGACTGCGATAGAGGAGATGTGATCACTACAAAATGACTCATTCATTCTCCAGGGGTTTAGACCAGTTTCTCTGGGATGAGGAAGGAGCTCTGCTGCTGCATTTCCTATTGCTCAAGGAGCTGTGTATCATCATTGCTCTCTCATTGCTCCGAGGCATGATGTGTGGGCCATGGCTGGAGGTGGGATTCAAGGCCAAGTGATCAATAATCTGATCCAGGGCAACTCATCCAGGACAGCCTGTATGTACAGTTAAGGTGTCCCTTAATTGCACGGTCCCTGGGCTGTGTGTGTGACACTGCCTGTTGCCTGTAGCCTTTGTTGGATCCCCCATTCTCCAGGATTTCCTTCCAGCATCTTCTCTTTGCCAGCACGTCCTCCTTTTGCTGCCCAAGGAGCAGTTTCCTGTGAAGAAGACCTAGTGTATTTAGGGTCCTGGGCAGAAGCAAAGCTTCCAGCTTTAGAGTCTAGATTCACTGTTTGATAAATTGGTTAAGTGCCAGTGCTCTGGCACTAAAAAAATCTCATTTCTGTGTCTCTGATGCACTTTGTCTCATTTTAGTTCAGGACAGGAACCACTTCATGTCCTGTTTGTGCAGAAGGCAGCCAGAATAGTGTGTTGGGTCATAGTGCTGAAAAAGAAACACAGAAGATGTAATGTCCTGTGTAAGAAAATGTCTTTAAAATGCCTTGTAATTAGATCTGAGTGGGATTTTGCAAAGAAACGTGGGACTATTTGGGAGCAGGTTGGAAATTTGGAAGTTCTCCTAAGAATAATAAAATCCAGCTCTGAATAGCTGGCAGAGTAGAGGCTGTCCTGAAGGACTGAGTCCTGAGATTCTCTCGGAGGGACAGGGCAGGGATTGGTGGTCACTTGGTGGAAGTCCTCAAAGCTAACAATGACAAATGCATTTCATAACTCTGTAGTGTAATTAATGGAGCTGTAGCTGGTGGGATTTTGAGAGGCAGTGGGAGCCTTTGGCAACAGGCCTTCTGGACTCCATAGGGCTAAATGCCATGGATTAAGGCTAAACCAGATGGTCTCCTTTTGTGGTGTGACCTAACTAGAGACATGTTCTTTTTCAGGCTGAAGTTCATATTTGGCCCATCTGCTGTCCCAGCTTTGGATTTGGTGGATCAGCGTTCTGTCACTCGAGTCAGGTCCCCCAGCGGAAGGACCGCGTACCAGGTACACACAGCTTTTCTCCTCTTCAGTCTTACTTTCTGATGGTTTCCAGTTGACATGTGAGCCAGTATTTGCCTAACTAACTTGCAGAACATGGAAGGGCACTTGGTTAAACATGGAGAGAATATCAGTGATTTATAAACTCTTAAAGCGATACTAGAGAGCAGTAGCCACAGACTAGAATTAGAACAGCATGGTTCACTATGGTTTTCTTTGTGGCTCCCAACCAGTCAAAGACAATTTCTTATGTCTTTTGGGGTATCACGGCCAGAATGAAGTTTTCCATGGATTGCTAATTTTGCTTTATTACTTCCATCCTATCCAGTTCTTCCTCTTGACAAACTGTATGCAATGGACTGTTATCTGCCATCATTTCTTTCCCCGTTGTACTCCAAATTCTCAGTGTCCTGAACACCTTTGACCTCTGCTTGGCGATAGGAGGAAGGATTGCTGCCTGGGAGGAAGCAACACAGGCCAAGTCTGTGGGTTTCATCCTGGTTCATCGTAGCCAAGTCTGTGAATCACAGAAACATCTTCATAAAATGACGTTTTAGGGAGTAGAGCTCAACTTAGCCCTAAAGATTGAACTCCTCTTACAGCACAAGGGTCAGAGACGAAGCTGAGGCTCGTTAGGTGAAGAAAGGAGCCATTGGTACTTCTTTCTGACTTTTCTGTGACAGAGGTAATTCCTTGCTTTACCGTGCCACAGCACCAGTGGCATCTCTGATGGGGACAGTCTGTCTGTTCTGTGAGCTATTGACCAGCTGCATCCAACCCATGGGGTCAGAGTCCGAGAGACGCTGTGTGCTGTGCCCTGGCTAAGGCTGTGTAAGCAATGGGACCCTGTGCCCATAAGATTCTGGTGAAGAAGCACCCAATTCCTTTTACTTGCACTGCTAACCCCCTCAGATAGCACACCTGTCTCCATTGCTGAACCTGGTGCTTTTTCACACACCAGAGGAGAGGGAATCTGCTCACTGTTGCAGCAGCCAAGAGGAACATTTCCAAAAATCCTCCCTATAAAGGCCGTTCTCTCCTTCACTGGAGGTGCTGAGATGCTCTGGGGTCATCTAGGGTAAGAGAAGAGCTGTGAAGCCAGGCCTGGGTAATCACACAAACGTTTTTCACATGTTCAGAGCTTGCATTGCTTGGTTTGCACATGGAGTCTTTATCGCTTCTGGGGCCTTAGAGGGGACATCAGCCCCTCCAGAGAGGCATGACTCATAAACATACAGGACTCAGGAACAAAGCCTTTGATTTGAGTTGAGGGCTTGCCTGTGGATGTTTGGTAAAGCCTAAGAAGCACTGCTTCCAGGCCCCTTAGACAGCAGCTGCCTCAATAATTGAATGCTTAAAGGCTTTTTCTTTTTTTTGCTGTTGCTTGGCTGAATGTGCCACTGGGCAGAGAATGGTCACATTCTCCTTGCAGAGCTTTGTTGGGCCATGCAGGCTGAGGCAGAGCTGTGCAGCCTGGGGTGCAGAGTCTTCACTTAGCACCCTTTTGTGTGATGGATGATGGGAGCTGCTTAGGGCCTCTGGTCTTCCCAGGGAGCCTAAATGTGTGCTCACGTGCTTACAGCTTTTCTGCAGCATGGCAGAGTTATCTGCATCTTAAGAGGCCTAATATTAATCTTTTAGGTGCAGGAAGCCTCATGAGTCATGGAGGAGATTAGAGGGTGGTGAGAGGGCTTTGATGTGCTGGGTGCTGCCCTGACACCCTGTTCTGGGCTGGGCTGGTACCCCTCACACTGCCCAGTGAGGGGCAAAGAATTCCTGCTGGTGGCAGTCCTGCCAGCACCAAGTGGGACCTGATTGATTAATATCTACTGAGGGACCCAACAGTTGGTCCAACTGGTGCACGTTTGAAAAGAGCAAGTGTCAGAACTGCTCTCCTCCTGCTGCTGTGGGTAGAGGGACCCACCAGTTCCCTCTACCTGGGGAAGGAACCCCCGGACAGGTAGGTCAGGGCTGGTCACCAGGAGTTAGTGTAGGACAAGCCCAACCTTCAGTGCACTTTGCAGCTGATGGGTATGATGTGAGCAGCCCCCCTGCATCACCAGGGTCTGTGCCTGTGTCCTCCCAGCTGACTGGGCAGCCTACAGGAAACAGCCCCTGCCTTGCAGGTGCACGTGCACTTCTGAGCAGCATTCCTCTTCAGTGAAGCTTGATTGCTGATTAAGGCCATGCTGATGAGTTCATTAACAGAGGAATCTGAAGAGATATTTTCTCTGGGGGCGTGAGGCTGATCCCATTGTGAAATTCTTCCTCAGCGCAGCTGTCTGAGAGGCAGAAACAAAGAGCAGAGCCTCCCCTGAGGCTGCTGGCTGGAGCGGTGACAGGAACACAGAAACCAAAACACTGAGTGGGACTCTGCACTCAAGAGTAGCTGGGTAGTGTCACTGCCTCCTCATTCATGTGTGTGGTGTAGATGCATATCCCACCTGGGTGCACTTCTCCCCCAGCAGAGAAGCATGCCCAGCGTGGTGGGGAGGGGGGAGCATCCATGGCTGCCTGGACACACGCACAGTCATCCTTTTCACTTATTCCCCAGAAAGTCAGCTCTGCCAGCACCCAGATGTGGTGGAGCTGGAATGTGAGGTGGTGCTTTCACTTACAGCTGGATCTAGAGAACTGTTCTCATTGGGGCCACCTATTGTGAAACTCCCAAACTTTGGTCATCGTAGGCAAATCTGAGATGTTGATACTTCACAGGCTAAAGTGCTGTTTACGTTCTGTATCACCCAGCACATCTGAGGTGCTGCTTCAGGGGGGAGATGGCTCTGCTCAGACAGGCCCTAGGACTGCAGCCTGTAGCGTGGGCAGCTCGTGCCCTCGGGAACTGAAATGGGAGGAGAAAGAGCCCTCAGTCGAGTGAAAACTATGATTTAATGGCTGGGCAGTAATGCCCTCGCTACTTAATAGAGTAGCATTGATGGGGTATTCAAAGGCTGATGTTAACTCAGAGTTGTTAATCATCCCAGAAGAGCTTCTATAATACCAGCCTACGCTGCAGACTAAAGCCAACCCTTGTAACTCCAGGTTGGGGATAAATAAATGTTACTTGCAGCTGATGGTGGAGCTGTGCTGGCTTCGGCAGAAGAGTAAAGCAGTGAGCAGGCAGCAGTTGGGACACCCACCAGCTCTACCTGAGCTGCAGAAACGCTGTGAGCTGGGGGAGTGAAGCCAGTCAGCAGGGAGGGAGGCAGTGCTTTAGCCCTCCTGCCAACTGTCACTTGCATTGCTCACATCCTGTGCTTTTATTGAATTCTTCTTTTTTTATGTCTTTTTTAATTAATTTCCTAGAACTGTATGGCAGCTTGCCCCACCGTGAAGGGGTTGAGCGTCAGGTCCTGGCACAGAGTGTGGTGCTGCCTAGCTGTATGCTGGTGGCAGCAGTAGCTGCCACGGTGCCACAGTTGGCCCTCCTGCGTCCCCACACGCTGGCGGGGACACCACCACCACCGAGCTGGTTTTTCCTTGCTGTGCAGCCAGCAAGTGCCTGGAGATGAGGGCAGCGGAAGGAAATCTCACAGTCTTAGGGCCAGGAGAGCACCCCAGTGCCTGGCTTGGCTGCAGCTGGCCAGAAACAGAGGCACCTTTTTCTCTTGGTCTTTAGGATTTTAGATTCTGCCTTATTAGGCAGCTGCGTTATTGCCATCTAGGTCAGGACGAGGGAACGTTAAACTCAGCCCAAATCTGGCAGTGTCTGTGTCTTCCCCCCCCTCCTCAAAGGAAAACACTTCTGAAGGAAAGGCACCATCGGAATACTTCATCTTGGAAAAAACAATCAAAGGGGCTACAGAAAAACAAACTTATCACAAATGAAACAAACTCAGCCTGGAGTATAAGGAGGGCCGAGGGTAAAGGCCAGACTGAAAAAAGACTGGTTTACCCTGAAGTGGGAATTTGAGTCTTGTGTCCCGAATCTGCTGGGAGTAAAGGGGATTATGAGGCATGGGCACTTCTGTGGGAGAGCTTAAACTTGTGGATGTTACCTGTGAGGCAAGGGGTGCAGAGAGAGGAGCTCCAGGGGACAGGGGAAAGGCTCTCCTTGAGAGTGCCTCTGGACAGGGAGAGACGATGCTCCTCTGGAGTGACCAGGGGCATCCTGGAGGGCAGCAGCACTCTGCCCAGCTCCACTGTCTTTTCACTTTTTGGTGTATCTGTGGATGTAGGTGGACGTGTGCCACAAACCCAACCAGAACCTAAAGCCTGGTATGGAAGAGGAGTGCGGTGTGCTGTCAGAGCCCAGGGGCTTGTGTGCAGAGGAGGATGCTGCTGGTGATTGCACCCCTGTAAATCCCCACCATTCTCTGGAATACCCAGGAAGAGTTAGTGCCAGCTGTCGAGGCCACCTGCTGTCACTGTGGCAGATATGAGACACGTCGTAGCAAATATTCTGTTGTAATTGAGTTTTGGCCATTGGGTGCACTCAGTTTAGGCCTCAGAGCATTAAGGAAGTCCATGCTTTTGAGCACAGGTTTCTGCTTGTGGTCTGCAAGGGTGTTCTGCTCCCCCTGCAATAGAAGAGGGCAGAGCAGTTGGCACTTAAAAAGTAGCTTTCTAAAAGTGATTTTACAGTCTTGAAGAAAGTAAAAGAGAAATCCATAGGTTAGCTTTTTTATACCATGCAGGCAGCTCCAGCAGCTCACAGTTTGCCCATCAGCTTCTCCACACTGGAAACGAATGCTTCCCTCACCCAGCTGCCCGAGGCGCAGGGGGAATATGCCTCAGGATCAGCCTTGCAGAGCAGCAGCATGTGGGAAAAGGAGGCAGTGCTGTTCCCAAAGCAGAGATGGAGCAGGGAGGCTTCTTCTCTGGAGACTTCAGCTTTGTTTATTCAGAAAAAAACTGGATTCCAAGAGCTGCAGCTGGTTTTGGGAGCAGAACAGCAAGAGCTTTTGCAGCCTTCACCCACAGGAGCTGGTTAGAAGAAGCCTCACTGCAAGAGCTCACTGCTGGTCTTCTTCCATCCCCAGGTCCATGGTGGTCCTGGATTCACCAATGGGCTTTCTGTGACAAGAGTATCTTTGTCACACTGTGGGGAGAGCTCACTAGAGGGGCTGGCAGCTCACTCTGCTGCTGGCTTTGGGAGATTAAGGGACAGGGCTTTTTGCTACTGCCCTTTTCCTGATCTCTCAGCAGCCAGCAGGTCACTGGAGCTGGGGTCTGCTGCGAGCACAGGTGTGTGTACAGGCATGGTTCCTTGCCTGCAGGGAGACAATCTTGTGGAGACCATGAGAAAGCTGAGGAGCTTCAAGCTTAGATGGGTCACTGCAGCGTTTGGGGATGCCTTTGTGTTGTGGCACCTGCTTGCCAGGTGCACGCTGTGAGTCATCGTGGAGAGGACTTCAGGGCAGAAACAGGCTAAGAGTTAGAGGAGTTAAAAGTGAATGCTGCCTCTGACTCCTGCTTCCTTCCACTCCCTTTGTTTCAGGTCCTTGGGAGCTCGGGCAAACTCTACACCTGCTACAGCTCCTGCCACTTCTGCACGTGTCCTGCTTTTGGTTTTACTGTATTGCAGAAGAGTGAGAGCCTTCTGGTAAGTTGTTCTGCCTTAACTTGGATCCGGGACGGGGAGCAGGGGAGAAGGCTGTGGTCTGATCCTTCAACCTGAGCAGCCTCAAGTTTCTGAGGAAGCAAATGCAGGAGTGTTGGCTTGGCCACAGCCTGACCCACTGCATAATATGGCCTCTGGGAGTCACGGTATTTGGGTGGAGCTGGGCCTAACGAGGGCTAGGAAGGGCTTTTGTTCTTAATTACACATTACTGTTCTGGCTATCAAGAGATGGTCTCTTGCAACAAGGGCTGTTGCTGCTAATGGGACTGCCACATGGAGTCTGGCTGATGAAGTAATGCAGTTCACCTGGTGCCAATCAGGAAGGGCTCAGGGTAACTAACTGGTCTGCAAGTGTCCACACCTGGTGCCGGTCATCCCTGCCCCATGGGAAGCCTGTCTGTCCCAAGAGATCTGCAAACTGGGCCTAAAACTCTTGGTTTTGAGAGCCATGGGGGCTGCCAGACTGTACTAAGCTGAATCTTGTTCTTTATAGTCTGGAGCCATCTTTTCCTGCATGTGTGTGGGGAGGGCAGCAGGAGCCAGAAACACTTTGCTGTGTGTCAGGTCCCTGTGTCACATTATCCTGGTGGCAAAGCTGCATGGGGGCCACTGGAGCACCAGCCTGTGCCAGGGCTTGGTGTGCCAAGGGGGAACCATGTTCATGGGAAGGATGAGTTGCTTCGTTAGACCCGTTCTAGCCAGGATGGGTTTTTGTGGCTTCCAGATAGAGCCTGACATTCCTGTGTTGCTCCTGCTGTTAACTTGGCTGCGCTGTTATTTGCAGTGCAAACATATCCTTGCTGTCTACCTCAGTCAGGCCGTGGGAGCCTGCCAGGAACTAAGTGTCTCTGAGGAGCAGCTCACGAGCATCTTACTGGCCGAGGAAGAGGATGAAGGATGAAGGACTTGGATCACATGTGGATGTGCTCTCTGTGTGCCCCTCCCAGCTGGGTAGCTGGCATTTTTTGTATCTACAAGACTGTGAAATGTTCATCATGGCTGGGAGATTTCTTCCTGTGTTGCAGCCAAGTGTGACGTTAATTAGCAGCCTTGCACTGATGGATTAATTAATAAATGTTTTGTTTATTTAGACTATTCTTGGGATTGCTGAAGATGTTTGAACTTAATCTGCAATATTGTGTGCTTGCGATGTGGGGATATGAACAGTCCAGCAGGTCTCTTGGTGATGCCTTAAGCCTTGTTAACTCTGCCAGTGCTTTGACTGACCCCACCACCCTTCCAGCTCCTGCAGGGCTCTGTGGGGGTGGCCTTTGACAGGGTGACACTGCGGTGGCTTTTTGCTGCTGGCTGCTCTGAGAGGTTTCTGATTCATCACTGGCAAACCCGTACCAGGGACTAGGGCAGGGACACCTCAGCACCTCCAGAATGATGGCAGGTCTGTGCTCCTGCTGTGTTTGCTGTAATATGGGGGGTCTTTGCAAGTGTCACCCTGGCTGCTCTGCTTTTAAATCGACCCATTTCAGACAAGCCAACCACCCCCTGTGGGCAGACAGGGCAAGGCTGTCTGCCCCAGACACACACTGCTGAGCTGGGTACCACCTCCCTCAGCCCCTGCTCCCATCGGGCTCCTCCTCCGGCGCAGCGTGGCCTGGTGTGATGCACCACGTGACCGCAACACCGCAAGGAAAAATGGGGCACAGGCTGTTGTGTAGGTGGTAAATTAAGCATTCTGTATGTAAATAACAGTTACTGCAAATACAAAATCTGAGCAACATGAGGAAAACACATCCATCCTATGTACATCAGAGCAGTGAGGAGTGACAGCTGAACAGCTACAGCTGCACTCCTACAGAAAGTTCCTCTGCCGTTTGCACTTCACATTTTTATAGAAACCTTCAGAGTTGTTTTTTTTTTTTTTTTTTTTTTTTTTTTTTTTTTTAAAAAAAAAAAAAAAAAAAAAAAAAAAAAAAAAAAAAAAAGTTCTAGGAAAAATATTAAACCCCATTTTTTCAGTCTCTGCCTTCTCAAAAAACACATTGAATCAGGGTAGTATTTGCATTAGTATTTGCAGAACTGTATGCTATGCTATAATGCTGCACACAGTTATGCCAGGTTTTAACAGCTTTCCTATTTCAGCTCTTTCCCTAAAAGAGCTTATTAGATTGAGCTGTGGGAATGTACCTACCCAGATGTATTAAGTTTAAAAAGTAGTAATTATGTCAATACTGGGGCTTGCTCCCAAGTACCTCGATTGCAGCTTGTAGCCTGGAAACTTGGATGACTGCAAAACACACCAGTACCATGCAAATAGAGCCTGAAAACCTGAAGGATTTTTTCCATATACAGTCTTGAGAAAACTGAGCAGAGAATAACTTGATTTAAAAATCTATGGTATTGAAAGAAGTAAAATAATACAGGGGAGCCACAGAAATTTGCTAGCTTACACCACAGTTTTTAGTATTTTACTGAAACCTCAGAGTACAACCAGAACATATCAAACAGTTGATTAACACCTATGCTTTTTTTTTTTTTTTTTTTTTTTTTTTTTTTTTTTTTTCCAGGGGGTTGAGAGAGGTGTCCTGTTTTTATTTTGCCTCGAAATTACTTTGGCTCAGATCCACAAAGGCACTTAATGTGCCTAAAGACAGCGGTGACCCGGGCCATAGTTAGTAATGGCTGACAACCCCATGGCACAGTCAGAGTAAGGAAACGCCGCGTCTGCCTACAGGAATTTGGCTCAGGAGAGGGCTGTGACAGGTAGCAGCAGTGGATGCCGAGCTGCAGCGTGAGCTGTCAGAAGTGAGCAAGTGTTCTGGGACTGTCTCTCTCTGTATTGCAGCGCTGTGTGTCTCAGGCTGTTCCTGCTGTCCAGAGTTTGGTTCATTTTCAGCCAGTTGGGGAGGAGGGCGGGGGAGCTGACATTTTTTTGTTGTAGGGATGAATGTAGCTTGCAACCACTTTGCAACACTGCCAGACCTGCAGGTGAAACCCTGCGTGGTTCCAGCCATGATTAACAGAAGGAACTCAGCCAAAGATAATACAGAAGGGAAAGAATGAAAGGAGGAGAGAGTCAAACCCTGCCCCGGTGGCAGGAGGTGGCTACATGTGGTCGCTGGACTGTGACCAAGGCAGATGCAGCAAAGCTGAATGGGGCTGTTCAAGGAGGAACATGTGGGACAGGAACTATTCAGATCCTTCAGTATCTGAGATACCGAGCTGGAGCTAAATTTGGAAATTGCATAAACATGTACAAACCCATTCAGTGCTTACTGGTGATTCACCAGGGTTTGGGGCTGGATCAGTCGGCAGAGCTGCTCCACACGCAGAAGCAAAATCCATCACCCTGAGTGAACCAGCCATGTCTGCCCCATGGGCCCTCAGTCACACCTGCAGCTGCAGGACACACCAGCTGGCACAGCACATGCTGCAGGATCTTCAGCTTTTCAGCTGATTTTACACATTATTTGTCAAATACACTAGAGAAATGAAACTCTTGGGGTCTTACAGTATCCCCCCTTTTAGTGCAATGCAGTTAAAAAAATAGAAAGCTGATTTCTATACGATTCAAGTACAATTTCTCAGGGACAAACCGCTCCAGGCATCACAGTCTGTCCACTGGACCTGTTTGTCAGGAACTGGCTGTGGTTAAACTTCCTTTCCTGCCACACAGCTCGAAAAGGCCTGCTCCCTCCCTCTGCCTTCCCCTTGGGGGGGGTCACCACAGAAAAACCATATTAAGTACACATCCCTGCACCCCAGGCTCTCACCGGTCACCGCTGGTGATGCTGCTGGTGCTGGGTGCTTTGGAGAGAGCTGGTACCACCTCATGGAGGGACCTTCGGGCAAGACTCCCGTTTGTAGGAGGGCCACAAGGCGATGGCAGGTCTGAGCTAGTCAGGACCAGCTGCGTCTGTGCCACAGTTGGCTTTTGGGCAGGAAGGGAGGCTGCTGGGTGTCTGTCTGACTCCCCTCCCTGTTCCTCTCACCTGTGGAATGGAACTGCCCTGCAAAGGCCGTGCCAGAAGCACCGGTGCATTTCCAGCCGCGCTCGTGCCGTCCTGCCGGCTGGAGGAGCGGAGCTGGTACTTCAGAGACCAATGCTCTCTTCTTTCTACCTTTGTCTAGTTTTGCATATCACAGTTATTTATTAAATGGGGTGCGGTAATTACTGAGCTGTGGTTGCAGAGAGCTGTTAACTGGCCGTACAAATTAAGACATCTCTGCTGATGAGTGAGCTTTGTCCTGCCCTCCCAGCTGAGGGCAGGTGGGGTGAGCTTCGTTCCCCAAAGAGCTTGGCCAAAATCAGGTTGCAAGTCAAGGCATTTTAGCTTCTCAGGCAAGTCAGCTCCCTTCGAGACTCTTTTGCTACTGATGCAGGTCAGGATTAAAAAAAATAATAATAATAAAAAAATAAAAATCACTATTAGAAAAAAAAAGCACTCACAGTTTCTGGGGGAGGTTACTGGACTACAGAGGAACCCCAGCAAGACCAAGTTTTAGGACTCAGAGGAGCTGCAGCATCCAGCTGTCACAGCTGAAACCTGCACTTCTGGAAGCACTGCAAGGCTGGCACGTTTTGACTTGGGAGCAAAAACCTAATTGTCACCGAGGGAGCGTTGGCACAAACCTCAGTGACTCTGGCCCAGAGGAGCTGAGACCATTTTAGGGCACTTGTGCCTTTTGCATTTTGAAAGCTGGAAGCAGGTTTGAAATCAAACCTGGATCATTGGTCTGCACAATCCTGTAGACCAAAAGTGATTTAAAGGCAATAAAATTGCTGTTCTAAAACTTCAGTCAACTCTTCCCTAAAATTTTCCTCTCTCAGTAAGTAGGGCTTCCATACTGGTGCCGAAAATAGCCCGGCCAGTTCTGATCTTGTTTTCCCATCAACACGGTCACATCCCCCAGAGCCTGGAAGGCAGATTCAGTTTCACACCAGCAACTGGGCTAAGTAAGACTTTTTCCCATCGGAGAATACTAACTGCATCAAACAATTGATGGAATAATTAGGGTATTACCAAAGTGCTGTCAAGTATGGACTTAAAGAACAACCCAAAACCAGACACAAAATTATTACTCCTAAATGAATCAAGATTAAAAAAAAATAATAATAATAATAATTAAAATAAAGATCCTAGGACTCGACACGAGCAGCACAATTGGGGAAACACCCCCAGCAGGTGGGGCTTCCACAGTCAATGTCTGACCTGGAAAGGAAATACAATAGGATCACCAGCACTCACACAGCCGGGGTTTGCAGTGGAGGGTGAGCTGCACTCGGTCTCCCCGGTCAGGTTATTCCTCTAGGAGGCACTGTGTTAATTACAAAAATAAAAATAAAAAATAATACAGCTGCATAACTGCATAGTGGTCATCTCTGAGCACTCCTCCGGGAGGTGGCTGTGACTGGTCACGTAGGCACAGGGAAGGGCAGTGTCAGGGACAGAGGGGAAAACCCTGGGAGCGGGACGTGCAAGGTCATATGGTCACGGAGGCCACGGGGGAGTTAATGTTGGTGACAGTCAGGTGCTGGTTGTTGTCAGTGGTGCCCTTGGGGAAGTCGTCCGTCCTACAGAGGATCTTGGAAATGATCTTGCGGAAGGTGTAGCGGAACTCCCTGATCCTGTAGGCATAGATGATGGGATTGATGACAGAGTTGGCATGGGAGAGGATGATGGCCATATACATCACCCATTCAGGCTTGGATTTGGAGAACTCCTCGTGGAAGTGAGTGATGCAGTTCAAGATGTGCAGGGGCAGCCAACAGAAGGCAAAAAGTCCTACAATGATGGCCAGAGACTTGGCTGCGTGGATCTCCTTCTGCAGTGTGGTCCTGGAGTTGCCCATCAGTTCAATCTGGTGCAACTGTTTGCAGGCGACCATGAATATCTTAATGTAGATTCCCAGCATGATAAGGAGCGGGAGCAGCACGCAGCCGAAGAAGTTGAAGTACACCATGTAGCTCATCGTTACCACTTTCTCAAAGAAGCACGAGATGAAGCAGTGATGGTGTGCTGTCCCCACGTTAGTCCCTGTCTCGTTGGTGGCGTTGGGACACGCGCTCATGGCTTTATTCCAGCCCATCAGCGGGGTCAGTCCGATCCCGAAGGACAGGAGCCACAGCACAGCGATGAGGCCTCTCGCCCGCTTGCCGGTCACCAGACTGTTATACCTACAGCATCAAGAACAAAACCAAGAGAGAGTCATTAAATAAACGAGCGCTTGTGACTTCCCTGCAGTTAAAGTCATCAGCATTTTGGGTAATGCCACAAAAGCCCCACCCACACCCACGCAGGAATCTCACCTCTGCCATCACCAGAGGGGTAAAAAAGTCTCACCTGTGCTCTTCACCCACACAAAGTGCTTTGGGGAGGTGATTCACTTACTATTCCTGAGAGGTGCCAAGCACCGGCCCTGCCCGCGAACATCCTTCAATAGCAGGTAAGGACTTGGAGTCTTAAAAAAGGCTTTATCATTGCATGAGCCTAAACCACCAACTACAAGGAGGGCAAAAGCAGGGGGAAGGCTCACCCTGTAACCACCAACTTACTCTCTTGCTCTAAGCATCCATTATTGGGCACGCCAGGGCATGTTGCTGGGCTCCATGAACTTTTGGGCTGATTTACTACAGCTGAGACAATGCTCCTCTCCATTCTACCCTGTAATGGGTAGCTAACGACTTAACCACTTACAGCCTCCCTATCACAGCCAACTTGCTTCAGCTTGGGCTGCTCTTACACCTGCAGCAATGCTGGCTTTCACTGGAGGTAGCAGCAGTCCTGTGATGTGATGTCCCTTCCTGGGCTCCCTCATCCGCTGAAGTGGGAAGCACACACGTGTGTGGAAACCAGGGATCCAACCAGCTTCCCAAAACAGAGCAATTCCTGGCTTACACAGCCCAGACTGCAGCCCACGCAAGCTTGTTGTGGCTGGATAACAAACACCCTGAAAGGCTTCTCTGAGCCAGCATCTGAAAGCAACTGCAAATGATGGATTGCTCAGGAGAGTTACAAGGGAGGGTTTGTGTCTCCATTCAGAGTCTCACATCCAGGCGTGGAGCCAGGGACACTGGGATCTTCTCCCATTTGATGTCCCTGCTTTGTGCAGCGTCCACCAACAGCGCTGATGTGGGCAGCTTCCCAGGACTGGTGTTGGCCTCTGCTGCTCATGTGCCATTTCTGCAGGACACACACCTTTGAGGGACCCTGAAGCCACACACAGACTTGGACCTGCAACTTCTGAAGCCATCAGCGGGGTTCAACCCTCCAGCCGTGCGTAGGTTCTGCTGTCAAACGATGCCTGTGCTCTGCTCACCCACCAAAACTGCTTGTAAAGATGAAGACATTTGTAACCAAATGCCTTCCTTGGGCACCTGCTGCTCTCCCGTGTTACAGAGAAGCTCTGCAGTGACACACGGACGAGCTGATGGGGTGCAGAGCCCCGCGCTGCCCCACAGGTTTCCTGGCCCCACGGACTGGGTGCCTTCATGGCCAAGAAAACAAAGGTGTCCCTCCAGCCCCCAGAGACAGACAGAGCTGGAACCTGAAGCAGCAGAAGTCAGGCTGGTTTGGGTGCAACCAGAGCAGATGCCAACATCAAAGCATCAGTCGGATCACTCTTTGGAGATACAAAGAACTTGGCGACTGCCAGAAGGACATGAGAAACCCATTACTGTCCTCTCCACGGCCCATTAGCGTCTGCTGGCTGACACACGTCCCCCCCCCTTCCCACACCCTTCTCTCAGTGCTTGTTTACTCTGGCTTGGCTACCCTGCTCCTCCTTTCCTAAAAACGTTTGTTCTGATTTTCTTCCGGCCCGTGAGGCAGGGGAGGGTTCCATTCCCACAGAACCACAGCTGTGCCTGTGAATCACGCTGCGGTCGCCTCCGTGCGAGCCCTGTGGCCCTCTCCTCCTGCAAGCTACACAGACAGGAGGGTAAGTGGGGGGGGGGGTCTGCCAGCATAAACTGGATGGCAAAGTGGGGCTGGGGGGAACCCTGGGCTGGGGCTGGGCTGGAGGGTGCAGGAGCAGCAGCCACATTTAGGCAATGCCGAACTGTGAAGACGTGCCTTCATGGCCAAGAAAACAAAGGTGTCCCTCCAGCCCCCAGAGACAGACAGAGCTGGAACCTGAAGCAGCAGAAGTCAGGCTGGTTTGGGTGCAACCAGAGCAGATGCCAACATCAAAGCATCAGTCGGATCACTCTTTGGAGATACAAAGAACTTGGCGACTGCCAGAAGGACATGAGAAACCCATTACTGTCCTCTCCACGGCCCATTAGCGTCTGCTGGCTGACACACGTCCCCCCCCCTTCCCACACCCTTCTCTCAGTGCTTGTTTACTCTGGCTTGGCTACCCTGCTCCTCCTTTCCTAAAAACGTTTGTTCTGATTTTCTTCCGGCCCGTGAGGCAGGGGAGGGTTCCATTCCCACAGAACCACAGCTGTGCCTGTGAATCACGCTGCGGTCGCCTCCGTGCGAGCCCTGTGGCCCTCTCCTCCTGCAAGCTACACACACAGGAGGGTAAGTGGGGGGGGGGGTCTGCCAGCATAAACTGGATGGCAAAGTGGGGCTGGGGGGAACCCTGGGCTGGGGCTGGGCTGGAGGGTGCAGGAGCAGCAGCCACATTTAGGCAATGCTGAACTGTGAAGACGCTCCACGGGGTAGATGTCTAAACATCAGGTCCAGCCGCCGAGGGGGTTCTCCTGCACCTTTCTCTCATTATTATTAAGTCTCGTTGCTTCAGAAGATGAGAAGTTATCAGACAGGGCATCGCTGAGGCCAAGCCCATTGCTTTCAACACCCCTGAAAACTTTAGGATTTGATTCCGAGCAAGTTCCCAGGAATCCGATCTCTTGGCAAAGTCTGAGTCTCCAGCTACGACATTGGCCAAGCTCAGTCAGTGCTGTAGGAGCACCAGGAGCTGCTGCTGACCCACGGCTCTGCACGTGGGAAGAGAAAAAAAAGTGGTTCTTTGGCTTGTGCTGTTCACTCTTAGTTGGTCACTTGAGTTGCTCCCTCACATCCCAAAAACTATTGTAGTAAGATGGGAAAATGCATAAGGGACTATTGTTTGGGAAGAGAAACTGAAGGGTGGGGAGTTTTGAGCCTGACTCAGGCTGTGCACAGGCAGACAAGGACAAGCCGTGGTGGCTCAGTGTGCGGTGCTGAGCTCAGTGTCCTCTTGGCCACCTCCTGGATGGTGGCATTCAGTGCTGCCTCCTGCTGAAAACACACAGCCCCAGACGAGGTTTCTTCCATCTGCTCCTCTCCTCAATTCTTCTGCCAAGATAAGGCTTGGCTTGAGGGTTTATAAGCCCAGTTCAGAAGTCACTTCATTTTCCAGTGCTGTGATGGTGGCGTGTTTATTTTCGTGTTGCTCGCTCTTCCCCAGCGCACGCAGCGGAACTGGAGCCAGCACGACCTTTAAGTGGGGGCCCCTTCTGCAAGGGGGGAGATGGGAAAACGTGCTGTGCTCCGGGTCTGCAAGAGTCAGAGCTGAGCAGTGGTGGGGGCTGCAGGACTGTCCCACAGGGACAAGAAGCTGCTTGTTAAAGTGGAGATGGTTATTCACAGTGAACGACGCACTCCTTAGATTAGCTCTTCATTTTTGTGGGAATGCACTGAAAATTCCTCCTAAGAGCCCTCCATTCAATGGCTCCATCCCAGGTAACGACGATGGTCGCTGCTGTGACTACAGAGGGTCACAGCTGGTCGCTGAGCTGCCGGCCAGAAGAGGCCAAGGTGAAATCGGAGATCTCAAATTGAAATTTGGTGCTCCAAAGTTGTTCACTAATTACCTTACTATTACCTTAATACACTTACTTGGTGGGACACTGCCTTCAGTTAACGGAAGTTAAGCACGTCCTTAAAAATAAGGAAGTGCCTGACTGTTACCAGGTCTGGGCATGAAGAGTCTCGTTAGTGAGCTGCTGTGCACGACTGTGACCCCCATCATGAACCACCCCCAAGACCAGCAGCACGGGCTGTGAGACACCTGAGACACAACGGTTTTCCTAAGCTCTGTGGAACACGACCAGACAGTGAGGAACCACCAGATTTTCACAGCTCTGAACGCTCCAGCAAACCCCTCCTTCATTCTCTTTTAGGCTTAATATTATTAGGCAAAAAAAACTATTAAAGTAAACTTACTCACCTGAGTCTGCTCAACTAATGCATAACAAATATTGAATCTCCTCTAGGTTTCTGCCCAGAGGCATCAAATGTTGCTTTAGTGTAAATAACAGCTGAATATTTTAAAATGATTTATGGCGATTAAATAACCTGGCAATGCATTAGTTTCTTTCACGCCGCCAGGCAAAGTCTCTTTACTGGTGTAATCATCATCAGGCAGCTAATTATCTCAGCTCCCACCCAGTGTCCCCGCAGTGGACATGCTGCAGAAGCCCCAATGCCATCCCTGCTCTGCTGCCACCATGGAGCCATGCAGGTTTCTCTTCTCCTGCCACACATAACTGTACGTTTGTGACACACCAGTGCCACAGCCACACGGCCCAGGGCAAATACTTCAGGGAAAGTTCAGCTGCTTTTACAACCCAGCTCTGATCCACCGGCGTCACCGTGTGTGAGCACCAGGCTGCTGGGTCTGTACCTGCTGTGCCACCACCAAGATGGGCCAGCGGCAGAGACCTCGGCCAGGGCACAACACTGCTCTGCCATTGAGGCTGGAGATGTCCCCTGGAGTGGCCTATGGACTGGAGAGGGTGTCCTTCACCCAGCACACATCACTGAGTGATGGCTCAGCAAGGTTCAAGGCTTTTTTGGAAGAGCATCGTGGCGACCACCAAAGTGACAGAGCCGTCCATTAGCGCAGGATGCTGGAAACCTCTCTGCGTTCTCCAGACGCTGTGCCTCTAGGTCAGGGTGGGGTTTTTTTTGCAAGAGACCTCATTGCATTTCTACTGCTATTTACTAGAGCTGGACACCAGCCAGGACACCCAGGCAGGCCCTGCCGAGCCCAGCTGGAGCAGAGCGGGAGGCGCTGCCAGCCTGCAGCCAGCCCGGCCTCTCCCGGGCAGGAGTTTGGCTCCCGACTGGCAGGAACTGAGTCATGTCCTGCACGTACCTGGCATCACCCACCAACCCCACAGAGATCACCCAGGCAGAGGCACCGCTGCCCCTGAGCTCCTGTCTCATGAGGAGCCACAGCACC